TAACATGGAATAAAATAGTTAAAATATATTAAACAAATACATAAATAAGACATTTTAGACTGTTATGGAGTGTAAACTCTGACATCCCTAATAATCAAATCAAAAACCAAAAAACTAATACTGAGTGATTAATTTTGAATGCCCTACTGATAGAAAATATGTTGAAAGTTTTGAAAGATGATAATTTTATTATATATTTTTTATCAAATTTCTAAATAGTAATTTTATCAAAGTTTTAAATATGTATTCTATTCTAGGAAGAACTAGTCCTTTCTCGGCCTCAGTGGCAAGTTTTAGAACAGCTCGCGGACAACCTGAACCACGAAGAGATGGAACTCGCGTCGGAGCACAAGAGGGGCACTAGCGAGACGGGTTCCGGCGTTTCGAGCGGCATGTGGTTCGGCCCGCGACTCGGAAAGAGGTCTAAAAGACAGAGTGCGGCTGCGGCTGCGGCAGGCCTAAACACCATTATAGACGCAGAATTCAGGAGCAGGGAGCAAAAGAACGAAGAAATCGCCAACATGCTCGAACTATTGCAAGATCAACCGTGGGCTGTCGTCGCATTGACCGGTAATAAAAATTTCAATGTACTCGTATAAATGTTTAATCATTTAATTAACAATTTTATCTAATATTTTTGCCAGGAGGCAGACGATATTCCATGAACTTCACGCCGAGACTGGGAAGGCAGAGCGGCGAACAAATAGGCGGGGCAGAAGGTCCAATGACTGATAGAATTCCACCTTTTGCCCCAAGACTCGGAAGGAAGTTGTTTAACACTCCATTTTCACCGAGATTAGGAAGAGAGCTTTTATATGGTAAAAATCATTATTCTGAATGATAAAATTCAGTATATAAAATCAATTTCAGTATTAACTAACTGTGTAAGAAAACACTTTTGAAATACGAAATACATATTTCTGGCACAGGTACTGTTACAGAATCCCAAACACGGATGTCATAAATAATTCAATTTGAATTGAGTTTCATTTTATTTTGTTGCATTAAATTATCAATCAAAAAATATCTTTTTCAACAATATTTCTAGAAACACTAAGCGGAAACTACATGGCGCATCCACGATACATACGGAGTGTTAACAAGAACAAGAAAGAACAAAAACGATCTTCTTCATAGAGCGGTTAGATTTCTGGTTATGATTTGTGAATTAACACAATTGACTCTACTAGTAATAAATATCATCAGATCGTTCATTGAGTAAACATTGTTTGTGAAATTATTTTCATTAATATTATATTTTGCAAATATGAAACCAAATACTTCATGAGATATGTTTTAGGCCGTCGCCTAGTAGATAATAGTTTCATTAAAACCAATTTCGCTATTATACTATAATATTCAGAATATTTTTTTTAAAAAAAATATTGGTATTTAGAATTTAAAAAATATTTCGGAAAATATATTAATATTTAATTTTGATCTGATCTGATCTAACTGTAATTTTACAATTTGTCTGAAATCAAATAATTTTTTTTGATAATGCATTTTCAAAACTATATAACTTTTAAATTTGGTTAATTACGAGCCTATGATTTATATAATAAAAATCTTGTCGATGTTTATTATATGATTCCATATTATTTTACCTATTTTATTTTCACATAAATTGTAATATTTATTTAATAATACGATGATAAATGATGTTAAAATATAAGCAAAAGTCTTATTAAGTAGGGGTCTCTTAATAAGACTAATCACGAAAAGCATCTCATTTGTTCGTAATTACAGAATTTTTAAATATGTTTCTATTTATATATTTATTTCAATCTATATGACCAATTTTATTAAAAATTTATATGATGTATATATTTGTAAATGCTCACAAATTGTGTTATTTATTAAGTAAATGTTATTTGTTGCATGCCAGATTTTAGTTTATTTTAATTTATCTTTTTGTGATCTTGTTTTTAGTTTATTATATTATATTATAAATTACACATACACTAATACCTATTATTATGTAGAACACATTATTGTTTGATCAAATCTAAATTACCAGAATGGTTTCAAAATTAGTGACTTCAAAATTATTTTGTTCACTGATACTACTCGATTATGTTTGTTTTCGAATATTGGACTAATGAGCTTTTCGTAGAAGGCCACTGACAAAATCATCTATAAACTCCTAAACATGTTTTTTTAATACTTGTCGCTTGATAGACATGTTTTTCAAAATAATACCACATATAGAATATATATCATCATTCAATAATATTTTACATTTTGCAGCTGCATATGGACAAAAAAAGTAACAGAGAAAGGATTTATTCATGGTGATAAAATAATTATGAAATTGATGTTCTATAAACCACTCTATTTAATATTTTATTTTATAAACTATTCGATCAAATAGTTGCAAATAATTTCAATTTTAATTACAGACAAAATTAGATTATACATTTTATGATGACTTGAGCGAGAACATTGACTATGCAATAAAATTATTAACGCATGTAATATATATATATATATATATATATATATATATATATATATATATATATATATATAATATATATATATTATTTATTTATACAGTGGTTTTGTGCTACCGGAACGCTAAAATTAAAAAACCGGTTCTCATGTTTGTTCCGGTTCCGTTCGAAAAGGAAAGAAACCAAATTCATTATAAAATCTATTTTGTGCATATATATGTATGTTTATTATAATAATAGGAACGTTTAATAAAAATTAGCTAAATTATAACTTATAAGATTCACCTATCAAATCATTTTCTGTATGTAGCGATTTTTACGGCCCAAAAATAATTTGCCGGATCGACGTTCCGGCGCGTTCCGGCTCGACAAAACCACTGTATATATATATATATATATATATATATATATATATATGCAATCATAAGAAAGTTATAAAAATATAAATAAAGAAATAAATCGTCATCCTCAATTTATGTATCTGTTTCATTACATGTGATCAATTCGATATATTTGATCAGATTTTTCGCTATTATTTTAAGTTATATATATATATTAATCAAAGTAAATAAATATCTAATTATGAAAGATGATTTTTATTTATGTCCTTAACAAAATAATTAATGTCATTTAAATTTATATTTTCATTTTAAATTCTTTTTAACAAAATTATGTATGATACTCTATCTTTAAATAAAAATAAACAACTAGTTGGATAACGGACAGCCAAACAAAATATTAAGTGTATGCTCAATATACCATTTACAATATTTGCAAAATTATATATAAAAATATATGAATAAGTCAAAAACTTCAAAGATGAGTGAATGTAAAATGCAATCAATATGACATGTACGCATAGCAACCGTCAACGCAAACAAACGACATGGAACTATTTTGAACATCATTTTGTGTGCACCGTTGCAGGCGAATTTCAATATTATTTCAAATTCTTCATTAGATAGAATTGATACTATCGTACTAACAATAACACATTTCATTTTCAAGCAAACTATGAGTGAACAACTACGATTTATTGTGACAGAAATAAATAAATTGTCGGATAAAGAATATAACTTAATTTCGTTCGATGCCCTCGAACCTGATCAGCTGCTTCAGGTGCTTGTGGACGTTTTGGCCGCCTTGGAAAGTTTGCAATGGGTAACCGTAATAACATATTTATAATTTACAACTTAAAATAAATTTTCACGGTGTATATCAAACTTTTATGTTTGAATTTGTAAACGGTTACAGATATTATATTTTATAACCCATTCAATTCATTTCCAATGCTTTTCGAATCTAAATTTAATTGTTATTTATTTCCAAAATAATTATATATAATATTATATTTATCAGTTTGATGTTTTGGAAGCCGATCCTGAAACTACGTCGGTTCGAATATTGGACAATCTTCGAAGTTTGAAATACAAGACCGATACGTTGCAAGGGGGCGCCGCTGGTTTACGCAAAGGAATAGTGAAAGGCGACAAAAAAGTTATCCAACAATTACTACTTTGGTTACTGAAAAATCCTGATGACATAAAAAGGAGAGCATATCTAGCTAAGTATGTAAATATGACATTTAACTATAAATAATCTGATAAGAGAAAAAATTAATATAAATAAAATAAGTTTTCAATCATTTTTAATATTTATCATCACGTTGTGCAGATATTTAATGAAAATTGAGCTGCCGCTTGAAGTGAGATCAACTCCAGAAATTTCGGTACTATGGGATCAATATGAAAATTTATTGCAAGCATTCAAAGAAGCTCACAAAGAAAATGATCAGGCCGTTAGACAAGGCATACAAACACGAGAATTGAGATCTGACTTGGAAGCCATGGAGAAAGAACGTGATACAGGTCAGGCTGCAAATCATCTTATAATTTGTAAAAAAAATTGCAAGCGAGTGCAATAGATAGTTGAATTATAATATTTAAAATCATTTATCCAGTACAGAAGCGCATAAACCGCATGAAGTCACGCTTAGAGGCGTTGCCGGGGCGAGAACTCGCGGAAATGTCGGCGAATGCCCTGAGAGTCCAGACCGAACGCTCGCGCGAGTTATCGGCTCAGTTGTCGGAGCAGCGCTCGGCGCACCGGCGAGTTGTGCAGAACACGGACAGGTTGCGCCGCCTTCTGGCCGATGTGCAGCAGACCAACCGCGGAACGGCGGCGGATGATCTTGCTGCGAAGTTACGAGAAGAAGTCAAGGTAGGTAATAAGCCGCGGAAATAATTGTTTATGCACATCGATTCTAAATGCATGTATAGTTATTTATTAGTATCCAGATTAGAAATAAATATTCTTGCATGTTATTTTAGTAGTATTCAAAACATTTATAGATATTCAAAAGATCAAATATTAACATCATTATTCTGTTATTCAAAAATGTTTTAATTAAATGATAAAATATTGTTATAGGTCAATGAGTTCATAGTATATGAAAAAATTCCACAACAAATCGATGCTGGCAAAACAGATTTAGACATTTTGCGAAAGATAAATAACGAGCCTGTTATCAACTGGGACTATATCATGAATCTGCAATCAAAGGTATTGTATCTATAATATAGCTTGTGCTTGATAAATTTTGAAATTTCATTCAGTACGATCTCATACTAAATAATGCCTGATGATTAAATAAAACGTATATGTTCTATTTTTAATTATTAGTTGGACGAAGCAGTTTCAGCGGTTCAAACTCTGGTAGAAGCCCAAATAAAATCAAGTGGAGAATCTGCGGAAGCTGACCGTCTGACGACATTTAAGCAGCAGGCGGCGGCTGTCGCCAGAGCCAAAAGTAATGCTGCAGACAAATTGCAGGATTTGAGTGGTCAATTGAGATCACTCGAGGCGATATTGGCGGACAGACAGCGAGAGGTCTAATATTATTTTCTATTTAGAATATTATTGCTTTGGTTCTTATTTTTCGATTATGATTATTTCGAATATAATTATTACAGCTTCAAAATTTGTTAGGAGAAAATATGCTGAGAGGCGAAGATCTTAAAGAATATGTTAATAAGTTGAAGGCTAAAAGCTCAATCTTCAGGAAGAAGCACGCAGAATTGTCAGTCGCAAAAGTAAATAACAATAGCTCTTGTGAGCTTTTTCATCAAAATAATAAATTACTCAAATGTATTTACATTCTAGGCCGAATGTGGGGTGTTGACAAGAACCATAGAAATATTAGAATCACAGGATCCTACATTGAAAGATGCCATTTCAGAATATACTTCCTTGCCTAAATCTACCGACGATTCAGCAGGAATTATTATAGAAGATGAGGCCGAATACACAGAAAGGGACATCGCAAAACTATCGAAGGAATTGGGGGCGGCGAGAGCGAGGCTGATGCCGCTGACGCAACAGCTCCGACCTCACAAACAAAACTTAAGCGATATCACCGAAGAGTACGAGTCCAAGAAAAAGGTTTTACATTCATGATAACATATTTATACAAAAATTACACCCCTGGTTATTAATGAAATTAAAAGTAGATTTTTGACAGATATTTGTTTATTTCAATTCTAAAACCTATATCGAAATCTAGTCTAAATCGTATTACAATTACTATTTACTCTTATTGTACTACGAACATAATATACACATATACACACTATACACGCCGTACTTACTATTCATGTAAATACATGAATACAATAGTATATAATTGTATGTAAACAATAAATAATAGTACAGTTGAAGCAGTTAGTAATATTTAAGTTTATTAATAACTAAAGATGTACTATTTTTTTATTTATTGTTTACAATAACATATTATTGTATTCATGTATTTGCGTGTATAGTGTACATTATGTTTGTAGTACAAGTACGAGTATAGTAATAGTAATACGATCTAGACTAGATTTTTTTGATATTGGCATCAAAACTGCAATAAAAAAATATCTATCAAAAATCTACCTTTATTTTTATTTTCTAGTATTAATTTTCTAGTAATCATATTTTGAATTTGAGAACATTTTTGTCACCATAAACGCAAGTGTCAAATTCGACCAGTTGTATGAAATTAAAGATCTGCCAAACGGTAGTTTCTCAAGCTTATATATTATACGATGTTTTACGAAAAATCATAAAATTACTGACTATGAGCATAAAAATGATTCTCTAAATGACTGAGGAAATAAAGTAGAAACCGTGTACAACTTTTAATTATCTAAAACATTAGCAAGCATCAGTATCGAATATATATCGATATTACTAAATGTTTATAACATGTGTATCAGCATAGATCTGACATCTGACATGGACTTGACTATCGCATTTGATAAAAATCTATTTGTACGTATAATAATGTATGTATGTATGTATAATAATTACTCTCACCTTTGCTTCAATCTGAATCCAGCCATTGTGTAATTAGCAGCATATCCTTGCATTAGCATGAACTAATTATTAAAATAACAACCAATTTAACGATTTTTATACAAACACCTCATACAAAGGACGCAACCCAACCTGTCACTTGCGAATTCATTTCGAACTGAATGTGAATAATAATAATACATCGAGATCGAGATCGAGCCGAACCGAATTGAACTTGTTGCGCACCATAGTCCATCATAGCAGGACTGCTTCGACGATTCGGAGTGGTTCGAAGCGACAACTTGCAAAACATAATTATATTGATGACACTAATGTTAATAGAAAAATAATAATATTGGAAATTGCATCATTAATTGGAAATATATATGTATGTATTAACAAAGTCTAGTAATCGGGCATAACAATATATATATATATATATATATATATATATATATATATATATATATATATATTAAATATTAAATATGAACAATACAACACTCAGAACAATACATAATGCATATATCATACCTGTTTACAATGTTTCTTTATCAGCTGTACAATTCTACTTCCGCAACTCTGATGGCCGAGTCCAGCGAGCTAGAAAACCAAGTGAAAATTTTGCGCGAACAACTGGAAGCCGATGAAAATAATTGGCAAATGTTACAATTGAAAATTGACAAGACAACTGAGCTTTTGGAGAGGGTTCGAGCGGAACTTCGCGGCGAATATTTGGATGGAAGAGGTCGTTTAATAGACACGTTACAGGATGATATCGAACAAAAGGAAAATGAGAGTCGGATTCTTCGAAGGGTAATAAAAATAATATTTATAAACGATGCACTTTTTGTTTACCATATTCCCATGTATATCATTCGGTGTACAGGATCTTGATCGATTGGAGAAGAAGCTGGAATATGCGTTAGAGCAACGCTCTCAATGGACTAGATTATCAAATATTCTAGAAATAAAAACAAGGTGCCACGAAGACTTGGACTTGAACGGATTTGAAGGGTCGCTGAAAATAACACACAACGCCGAAACACTTACCCTTAATAACTAATATTACTCATAATACATACTTCTATTAATTTTATTTGTATATTAAATTTAACGCTTGAAGATTTAACGGCATTTATTAAATAAACACAATTGACATTTTATAATTATTTTATAAAACATAAAAAGTTCAATATATATATATATATCAACAAATAATAATAATAGGGTTATTTATAATAATTTTGAAACTATTCATATAAAATTACCTACAAATTTATATTAACTATTCAAATCTTAAGTTCATTTTGACTATAATTGATTGGTGAGACCGCCATGCGGCCGACCAATTTAACGTTATTACGAACTTAACACGATTTGCTCTGAACTCAGGTGCCATTGACACAAACAATGTCAATTAGAAAAAATACAAAATTGTACAAAACTCTATTAAAAAAATATTTGATTAAAATGCACACACATACTCTTATTTAGTAGACTTCTTAAGTTATTTATATTTTTTATTCCATTTTTTGTGTATATTTTTTTTATTATTTACTACAAAAAATTCAATTCACTATAGTGTTTCTAAATAAATACAATGTCTTTAATAGTCTAGGTAAATATAGTATTTATTTAGCTAAATATGTTTTATATAAAAGTTTAAGATTTTTTTTATTACAAAATTTAAACATGTAACATATATACATACATACATATGTATATATCGCATATATGGATATGAAAAAAAAACAAGTTCACTAAATACACATACATTTTTAGATTTTGAAGATATATGTGCGAGCCCGTCAAAACATTATAGAATTATCAAGTCTAACACAATCATTACAAATATGTGCTCACATACGGCTTGTACAAAATTTAATATCATTTAAAGTTAATTATTTTGATGGCTAGGATATCTACAACAAGCAAATTCATTTACATCAGCCGCCACAAATTTGCATCCTCAAAGTGTCTCAAAACTAATGCACATAATATATTATTATTATCATTGTATTTGTTGTTCATAATTTTTATTCGACATATACGAAATAAATTTAATAAAAAAATAATTAAAAATTGTATACTGTATTTCTCACATCGATATGATGAATTGTGTGAATATATATATATATATATATATATATATTTAAATTTATATTCACACATCCATCATATCGATGTGATATATATATATATATATATATATATATATATATATACAGATATTAACAACATTTTCTAATTCGCTCACAGCCCTAATCAATATTGCACACTAATTTAAATATAAAAATATAAAATACAACAATAAATAAATATATTGAAGTGAAACGGCTTCAGGATATTGCGGAATAAATTTCATCATGGAAAAAAAAACATGTCAGTGTATAGATACCTAATAGATAAATACATTAGTTTGCAAAATATGCTTTGAGGAAAAAGTCCTTAAGAAGTTTCACTTCTATCACTTGTACTTGTACACTGTTACACGCATATTTTCGATCACTAAACGGATTCCTATCAAAATAATACAAATGAACTACAAATACAATTCGTATTATCATACAATTAGTATATTTATTTCACTCGTGAGATATATTGAGAATGCAGCGAACGCATTGTATTTGACACTTATAATAATTTTAAATAGAAATAAATATATAAAAAACTATATATGTATATGTATATGTATATATATATATGTATATATATATATATATATATATATACATTGATTAGAAACACACATTTTGCAGTAGGAGTCAAATACAGTGTACACCAAAGTTTCACAAGTTATAGAAAATATTTTTCTCTTTTGTTTAACGTGAAACTTTGGTTTGAAAATGTATGACTCTAAAAAGTAGTAGATTGGGTAGATCACACTTGTAAATACTTTTTCAAAAATATATAATAGGTAAGAATTAACTTCTATATTTATAATGTTAAAAATATATCAAAATGACCTACGTGTGTTAGTTTGTATAATAGTGTGTATGATCAAGCGAAAGAATTAGATGTCACATTTCAATATTCATTTATAATAGTCAAAAATATTAATATTGAATATCATTATTAAAATATATCCCTTTGAATTCGATCTATGGCTTTATTAATAGAATATTTCAACTAGACGATCTACAGGAGTGACTATCATTCATTAGAAATTGCTACGTGAATTACATTTATTTATCATCAGTAATCCATATAAGATCAACATAAAATGCCGTCAATATAAAACAAATTTCAATACTATGTAAGAAATTTTTGAACATTTGAATTTGAAAATGAAAAATTAATAAAAAATTATTGTAAACGAAAATTTGTCAAGCAAATTACTGCTCATATAATAATTGAATTTGTTATATCTAAATAAACTTATTGCACAAATATAACTTTTTAATATTCAGAGCAATTATAGAGAATTCTATAATTAGTATATTAATAAAGTATTAATTATTTTACTCTTGTAAAAAACTAAATTTAACAATGAGACTAGTTCTGCAAATTTAAAAAATACATATGAATATAATAATGCTAATATTAATATCAGAAATTAGTAACAACGCGTGCGACGCAGACAAATAATAAATGTTGCTATATTTGTTATGCAAATTATTTCTGATGAGATTATCGTACCCTCATAAAAAGCATTCGTAAGTGTTATATTTATTATAAATGCATATATTAATGAACTGATAACATTAGAAATTGTTCTATTATACCGTTAATTAGCAGATCTATTATTATTTAATAATTCAGTTTACAATTGATTAACATAGCTAAAAATACAGTACGTAGTTCATACATTTATAACGGAGCGAATAGGATACGTGCCCCTGTCCCTAGTACGGCCCTGAAATCTTAATAAAATATTTACATATGTAAATCATATGCAAATGCCATATTCTATTCTGAACATTTGTCTCGAAATCGTTTCTGTTGATTCTAATATGTACAACATCATCATCATCATCATCATCCTCATCAGATGATGCAGAACTATGCACATTTAAGAATTCAAAAATATTTCAATGTTTGCGAGCCTATATATAATTTGATTATTTGTATTGCATTATTTTATTTGTTTTCGTTATGTCACAATTAATTGGATACAAATAAAATATTTTTCCTACGTTATCGATTTTAATATTTATTAAAGCAGTTTAATTATGGTATTTAATAAGATTCTTGTCTGACTGGATAAAAAATGATTTGTGACTAGTTCCGGTAAAAAATAAAACATTTACATCTAATTTTAATTATTTGCAAGAACCTTATTAGATGGTAATGGCAAGGAGAACCTCGTCTGGGATTGTGTTGAATCTTAATCCTATTTTTATAATTAAACCACTTCTCATAGGACTATAATATTTTAAGGAGTTTATTTTCTATATCAAATCTATCACTTTGAAAAGTTTCATTAAAATACAAGACAAATAAAGTTGAGGTTCAACTCGTGAGTATATATTTATTTATTCGTCACGGCCAACAATTTCTGGAGACAACAACTCAATCAAAGTCAGTACAAATTTCAAAAATTGTTCATAATATACTAATTATATTAGATTAAAGTGTTTCACTAAAATGGAGAACATCAAAAATTTGCGAAAAAATTAGTGGTCTGGCAATATGAATGTGTAGAAAGTGTAAAATCCGATAAATCGCAATCTTTTTTCGACAAAAAGGTAGAAATTAAAATACTATAAATAAAAACTTGAAATTTGAAACACAAATATTGAATAATTATAATAGTAATTTTGTCTAAAAGAAGCGACTTTAAATGAAATGATGCTCTACATCATCTAAATAATGTAAATTTTATATTAAAATTTATGAATTTTTACTATTTACATCACTTGCACGGATCAATTATTACTTAAATCATACATACTTCAAAATCAAATTTAAATCAAATGAATAAAATTCAATGCCGACTTCAGTTTGGATATCATCAGTATCATTAATATATAAAATAGTACTACAATACAATTTATAGATATTTTAGTAAACATTTATAGGTAAGTTCTGACTGAAAATTTACAAGTTTCAATGAATTTCATTGAAACGTCATTTATTTTAAGAATATGCAGTGCATTTTATCATTTCATCTAGTTAATATTGATCTACACTTGCTAAAATAGTTCAAATATGCTTTGAATTGATATTATAGTTATGGCGAGTTCAGTAAAAATATTGTTTTGTGAGTATTATTAATTTATTTTGTGGCGTGATCTAAATTAACAATAATATGTTCATAAATTTTATGTTCAAGTATAACATTGGTCTTATAGAACGAAATCGATAATATAATTTTTTGTGACAATTGTAATCGATTTTACGAGATCTTATTGATCGAGTAATTAAAAATCAAAATTTATATTTGCCATTTTATCCGAGATGCAATCACTGAATTTTCACTTTCAGTAGTTCACGAAATTCATACAAAAATATGTACGATCGATATGCAAAATAGCATTATAAAAAATATTTTAGAAATAATATTTCAATAGAAATGAATTTTGCAATCGATTAGTTGTTACGAAATATAATATATAATTTATCTTTTACTCGATGCGATAATTTAACTTTAAGCCAATCCAAAAAAGTAATAATTTTAATTTGCAAATCGATAGGACTAGGTACAAAAATATATTATTTGTAAGCAAAATATATTTAAATTTTACGATTTTCGCGGAATTCTGATGAAAAAATAACAGTGCACAGCAAGAAACTAATCATTGCTTATAAAAAATTAATTCTAATTTAAGTCGCCCAAAAAATAATTTATATTAAGAATGGAAATTATATATTATGCACATGCCTATTAAATATATATGTATAACCTTTTCGCTACGAGCGACATCAGGTGAAATCAGAAGTGTGTTTGCTTCAAAATTTATCACTTGAAAAATCATTGAGGATTCTAATTCATTGTTGTGAATTTGAGTTTTTTAGAAGTGTAATTTAATAATTTTTACTGATAATGTTGAGAATATCTAAAAATGAAGCAGTGCACTCCTGCGTAGCGAAAAGGCGAGGAACGAGCCGCGCATAAAAATTCTATTTAGTAAAAAGTTAAAAACGACAAAAATGTGATATTTTATTTAAAACCTTTTATAACATCGATGTTTAGGACCAAATCAAAGGGTTCCGAGACAACGCCCATCTCATGTGATTTTCGCCACGAGTTCTATTACGCATTTTTTCTTGGGTTACGATAATACATTCATTTCATTACGAAATATTTCTTTAGTTCAGTAAATATTTTGCAAAACGTGTTTTTCATAGAAATCGAATAAAATGAATATTTGTACAAAACGTAGATTAGTTTCAATTATTCTCATTAGTTCTTATAACAAGTATGAAATAAGTATACACTTGTAAATACATCTATTAATTACGAAATTAATCGTAACGATAAAAGTTTAAAAATGTAAATTAGCGTTATAAAAATTTCGAAAAAATTTACACAAACACTTATTATTTTTCAAAATCCTAAAAATACTAGTACACAACAAACAATCTATTATGTATATATTAATAACTAGAAAAATGTTAGTTACATCCTACGTCAAAACATTACTCAAATGTAAATATATATATACGCGTGTGTGTGTGTGTAAATATACATATCAACAATTACTGAGATCTCAATTATTAATAATAGTCATATCAAAAACAGTACAATAGATACAAAAAGATCTTACGAATTTCATCAAAAAAATTTATCAAGTTTTAGAAAAATGTGATTACAAAAATCATCACTACGAGTTTGTGTCTCTTTAGAATTAAAGCTAGGTTAATATTTCGATGCAAAATTCCGGTTCAAGAAATCGAACCCGAATGCGATTTGAAATTGTTATCACGTCAGTTGTCTTATGAAGTCTTATCAAATGCACATTGGCGATCATAGTATAGTAATCCTTATAGTAATTCTGCCGTCGCCTCAAACAATTTAGAATTATCAAATTATCATCAAAGGATTATTATAAACCAATGCCAATATCGTGGGCTTGCACTAGGCACATCGTAATTATAATTCGGTGCACGAATTGTGAGACAATTTAATTAAATACTCAATACTTATATAAATAGTATGCCAAATCGATATTTACACTAGAACTAAACTAATTCATTACAAAACGCGTCGATCGTTTGCATTCAACATTACAAAATTCTGAATAAAAAAAACATTTTTTTGTGTTATGCGCAATTTATAAAAAAAATACGAACACATACGGTTTATTATGATTTAGTAGACATATTTCTTATAGTGATATCTGGCCACATGCTGATGAATACTGAACTGAGAAAGAATTTCAATTTTCATGGAGCTTCACATAAAAATATAACAGACGCTAGTTGAAAAGTTGATTTGTTGATTATGATAATCTATGTGAAATCACAACACTTGTAAACTAAATTAGATGCAATATTAAAAATAATGACTGTTAATTGAAATAAGTGAAAAACTACAAAAAGGTTTACAAAATAAGTTCTCCTCCGTCCAGTGATTCAAGCCTATGCCACCTAATCCTAAACGAGAAAATTTTGACAAAATTATGAATTGAATAGAACAAAAGTTACACGTTTAAATTATGTTTGCCGTTAAGATAGTTTATATCTTAACTATATCAAAAATTTCCTACAATTTCAAAGCTTATAAATACAGTATCGAAAAAGTATTTTATGATCATTTTGGTAACTATGAAATAAAAGTCTCCGCCTGTACGTACTACGGTTTTATGACTTCGTGAAAAGTATTATTAAAGTTAATATACAACATATACAATGGAAAAATGTCTATAAAAATGAAGGTGATATAAACTATAGCTCACAAATTACGATTTTCACGATTTAAACTAATCTTTGGTTAAGAATTCGACAGTTTCAATTTAAATACAGAAATGTAGTCGACATTCTTATTATTAGTTAGATTTTGTCGTAAGCATCTAAATTTTTAAGTAAAAAGTAAGATGGCCATTAATTAATTAATAAATGTTTCAGCTAGAATTCAGCTATACAAGAAGTTTAAGAAAAATAGTATATCGAACATAACATTTCATTCATGTGATGCAACTTTTTTATAATTAAATCATGATTTAGATTATAACATATGAAATCGTTAATGATTGAACAAAAATCTACTGAACTACTCTAATATCTTTGTAAGTTAAGATTAGTAAATATTCTATATTTAGCAAATAACTGAATATCTGATTCTGAATAGCAAGTACTAAAGGGTTGAAAATAATAAAAGAGTGCATCTATATGTATATGTATATATATAAATATATATATATATATATATATATATATATATATATATGCACATATGAGGGACGTTCGATAACTATAATACGAATTATATAACTTTGAACATCATTCCTAATTTATCTATTATAAATTATTTACAACGATGTAACACATCGAGCCTAGAGTTTTGAATATACATAATGAAAGTGTAAAAATATTTCAATGAATGTTAAGATTTTGCCAGCATATTTGAATAAATATTAGGGATAGAAAAGGCTATTTATTTGCATTTCTTACATCAATTTGTAAAATCAATAGGATAAAATTACAGTAAAAAATATATAAAAAATTATAATATTGCAAGTGGCTGAATACTTCAGCATTTCTTCCATTCATGTCATTAAATAGGCAACGTAAAAAAACATCATTTAAAATTCTGAAAATCAACGTTTTTATAGTTCCTAAATATGACTTGAACTGTTACGATTAAAATACATATCTTAGACTATAAACCGAAGTTTCTAACAAAATTAGCTATGAATATGACGCCAAAAATATGTTTCTCATCTGAAACTATGAATAAAATCGGAATGAAAAATTGTTACCATATAATTTATTCCGGCTCTCGAATACCATAAAAATCATGAACTGCGAAGATACTTATATTACCTAGGATTATTTATTTTAAAAGTATTTGCATCTATTTATTCATATATGCATATATATTATATTTTAAACCTTTCATATGAAAATGAATTTCAAAATACATTCGAAATTGAAGATTTATTATATTTTGTAATAAAAGCTATATATTTAGAAAAAAGGCTCGCATTTAACTTTATTATTTTGGTTTTAATAAGTCCTTACCTGAATTAAAATTTAATTAAATATAATAGGTGATATTTTGGATTATTTGGATCCAATCAGTTAGATCCAATTATATATTTGTACTTAGTTTTCAATGCTATACCACATATATAAATAATTACTAAGCTCCAGTCGCCCAATTTGTTAATTTAAAAAATATTGGTTAATAATTTTAACTATACAAGCTTAAGTGTTTTCATAGTGTTTGAATTTGCGATATTAAAAACGTGATATCCATTTTTAATTTATAGGTTCGCAAAATGGGCCGGTTATGCACATATACATTATATTTATATATAATATAAAAACGAAAATCGAAATAAATATTTTGAATAGAATAAAAATAGGATCAAAATCACAAAAATATTGATAATTGCAAAAGTACAATTATGCAACCATTATATATATATATGCAAATGCATGCATACATGATAGATATATACATGTACCACATATGCATATATGGGGGTGTACTCAAAGAGATGATAAATTATTATAATACAAACATAACAATAGTGTCTCACACTGAACTAACATCAACAACAATAAATATATTAAAATATATTATAAAAATTTTTAAAAATTAAAAAAATATAGATCATTGACTAAACGCAATATTAAAATATTAAAAAAATATTACGAAACTAACTCAAATAAAAAATTTGAATTATTTCACTAATGTACTAGAATTAGTACATTCGAACCGTAATTGGTTATCGCTACTAAAATATTAGGCCCATTGGATTTACAGCTCTCGATTTTCAACGGTTTTAACAATAAACCCAAAACGCCAAATCAACGGATTTAACAATACCCGCAAAAATCGTCAGTTTGATAAAAATGATCCGAATACATACCTACTTAAGTAGCTGCAATCGTAAATTTGAAAAACTGTAACCAGTAAGCATACAATAAGACCTAATTTTAAGATAATACTAAATTTTATGAATTTATGTACGACTATAGATTTTGTACTTATATTTATATAAGAAACGATGATGCTTCTAATCGCTTTAGATCAAATATCTCGTATGATGTTATTAAAACGTCAACATAAATATATTAAAGTGGTTAAATTTCTGATATCATTTCAAGTAAGAAGCCATTAGAATATATTATTTTCTATATTTCTTTGTGATTATATATGTAATTGTCTAAAAAAGTAAATGATTAAATACTTCAATTGTCTAGAGTAAAATTAGTCTAGCGAATATGAGACAGTGCACTAAAACAGCCCTATAATGAACGATAATATTTATCATTTCTGTGACCATGCACGAATGCCGAATCAAGTGTTCAAATAAATCAAATTGACTTCGAATCATAGACATTCTGCTATTATTAAAGCAATGATATGTTCACGTAAATACGCATAACGCAAAACTGCGATGTGTCGATGAGAAGCGTTTGCGTCATCGAAAATTGAGCTATGACAAAAAGGCGTTCGATACGAATGCGAGGATGTGATACAAAATGGCTAAATAAAGCGTTTCCACGAACGCATCCTTCGGTTACTCTCATTCACTCTGAAAACTCCTCCGAGCTTTTCACACACATCCTTCCATTCTTCTTCATATTCAATATTAAATATGTATCGTTCTAACCTTTCTTGATGTAATGATGATGAGAAACAATAGAGTGCTAATGATAATTTGCGATCTGTCTGGTGTCGCAATCCGGTGTAGTGTATCGTATGGCTCCTGTCGAGCGGTGATCCGAGCCGTTCACGGGTGTCTGTTTCCGAGCATCTGTCTCCTATCTTGCGGGCTACTAGTTGCCCCAGCGTTAACACCAGCGGAACGGCACGGCGCGCGGCCGGTCGGCCCCCTCTTTCACAAGGGGCTTGTGGAATTCGCGACCCGGACGAGAGTGGATTGTTGCCCAGCAGTGCTCACAATAATACTGAAAATAATATACGGTTAATAAAATAGATAAAATCAATCATTGCAAAATGATTTATTTTAATCGCAACTTTAACTTTTATTATAATCGAATAGTTTTTATTAACTGGCCAACCAAAGCTTATGCTTTCGCGAAAAAATCCGATTTGCTAGTTTTATGTTTACTCGACGATTCAAGTCGTTTTGAATAGAATAAATAACTAATAATAATAAAAATAATATTAATAATAATATAATATACATGATAATAAAAAACCAAAATTTAAAAAGTATGTGTGTGCAAAACCATGTTCGACTTTTGTCGACGATGTCTTAAAAACGGCTGGACACAAATTTCAAAAATTCAACAATAACAACAAACAACAATTGTTGAATAAAAAAAACAAATTTTAACAAAAATTTTAACTGCAACTCGATATAAACTCGCGTTCGTCAAATTTGTGACCATGGGCCAGCCCGTTTCTTCGCAAATCATTATAGAAACTTTGTGTGATGATAGAATTTCCGATCGTTACTAACATACAATAATATTAGATCTAGTTATATTATAAAAATTACGTTATTTATTCATTTATTTATTCAAAGCCCAAGGCAATAATACAATATAATTACATTGTAAAGTGTACAGATTATAAACTAAAGATAATATGAGAAAATTTGAGTATTAAGAGTTCATTAATTAAAGTTTTAATTGTGTATGTATTATGCACGTGTTTGTTTTTCAATCATGTTTAATATTCGTTCGGTTTTTCAATCATATGTAACCAATTGATTGTCGCAAATAAGTAGAACGTTTAAAAATGTTGTCAAAATTGAATAATCTACAACAATTTTTCACATTACATTGCTCTACGGCAACTCGATTTACTTATAAATCTAATATATGTATAGACTTGTTAATGATTAAGTCGACTATTTGCAATTAATTCGGTAAGTAAATGCAACTTTCCTTAGGGCAAAACACGATTTCTCCTAGTGTTTTATTGCAGACGACTCGAGTTCTAAAATTTCTAAAAGAATCTAATATCTATAGTTTCTAAAAAAATCTAATATTTTAATTATCTCACAAACAGGCGATGTGCCGATGAGCCTTTGGCCACCACCTTTGGAATTATCGTACCTGTAAGCAAGTGACGTTGGCGCAGAAGAATGGCGCAAACTTTCCGCCGCAGCGTTGTCCTTGGCACTCGTCGCACATTTGGTCATCGAGGACGTACGGCTTGACCTCGACACGCTTATCGATGTCCCCGTGTTGCAACTGTACAAACCTGGCTGATATCGCAGCGATGTAAGACTGCTGATTGCTGAAAGCTACGCGTCCGGCACCCTGTGCAAGAACAGACACTATTACAATCAATATATCAATTTATGATTAGCGTAAGTGCCTGCAAAACACTCGATTCTTTTGTATAAACTGTATATTTATGCTGCAATTCTTCCTGCAATAATTAATTATATTAAGTGATCAGAAAATAATACGAGTATATGTATACATTAATACGTAGGCCATGATTTTGAAAGTGAACGTAGGCCCTTTTCATCTGTCTCCCACCTTCACTATCTAGTGGTGGTGCGGTATAGTTGATTTACTGTACAGTCTGAGTACCAATATAGTAATAAAAAAATACATCAATTATTATTTATTAATTAAAACAGGTGATGTAAAATACTCATAATTTTATGAACTCAGTGAAGTCATAACCATAACCAAAGCTACTGTCAAGAAATAGAAATTGAAAACTATAAAATGACGTAAAATATTCGAATCCTAGTGATTTACGTCGCAATTATTATGCCTTACCAATGAAAAAAAAACGCTTACCTTAGGATATTTGAGCTCCGGATCTGTATCGATACCAGCATAGCATACTCCTCCATACAGTCTATTCATAATCATTGCCAACTCGACTGAAATATTATGAGTAAAATTTATATACAAATGATAATATTTTAATTTAAATAATGTGCTTGGCAAGTTAATAGAATAATTTTTTAAAATTAATTATTTTAGAAAAATCGGATATAAAAACAGACACGAAACTGATCTGTTGTGAAATTATTTAAAATATTAAAAGTTAAACATCAAACTTTTTGATAAAAAATGCTCAATTTCATACCAAAAGAAAATTTGCAAAAAAAGTTCTAAAGTTATTCTAGTAGTGTAATCCGTTTTATGTACTAGTTATAAGATTTGAAAAATCAAAAGCATTAATAATAATCCAAAAATATAAATATATTGATAAGGATGAAAGTGAAAATAGAAAATACATTTTCAACTAAAGATCATATCATATCATTCTCATTGTAAACCCAAAGTTAATATTTTCAATTAAATTTCAAAGTATTTAAATGAAAAACAAATTAAAATCTAAGTTTCATAACACATGTTTTACCAGTGTGATTTGATATACGGAATAAATAATACTTTATTGGCAATATACCAAACGTTGGCGCTATTATTCTATTAAAATAGCTTAATGTTGTTCTACTTCGAAAGCCAAGTTTCTTGGTGTATTTTTATATGATCATGAAGGATAGGATTGTAGTACGTAACATCTTCATAACCTCAGATTCCAAATTAAATAATTAGCCTGATTCGATTATACATTAACAATATTTGAATCAGTTTTAGATAAATATTAAATTCACCAGCTTTGAGAGGGCGTGGCACCCCGCCGACGAATACAGTTTTCCGTGGGTCGAGAGGCATCGTTGCGTCCAGGACGTAGTCGGCATCGCTCAGGCGCCACGGACGAATCTGGACAGGCTTGTCCTTGATCGTCGGCGAAGAGACGCACAGGTAAAGCTTGTCATCATCCGTAATGCAGGCGTCGATCAACTGCTGCACCGAACTTTCGTCCTGAAATAATAGTAATCATCTTCACTATAATTCTTTAATAATTAAATTACCTTCTTTCAAATATTCCACTACATATACACATTTATGTCTTGAGATTTTATATTAGCCAAACTTTAGCACTGTAAACAGTTATTTGTTTTCAGGTTCCTTTTAACCCAAAATAAAATTGCTAATAAAATTGTAATCGCCTTCAGAGCCAACAATAACGCGCAATATAATAATGTTATCGTCTGACGTAATTATTTGATATTTTTTATACAACGCCTTGACTGCGTGTAACAAATTATTTGCAAAACTCGCATACATATCATTTGATTACATATAGTGCAAAAACACATCTAGACAAACTATCTAAATTTATGTATTAGGTACTAAGTATTAAATAGGATTTATGAATTTCGATAATTATCGATTATGTATAGATCTAAACAAAGTACTTACCTGGAACAAGAGAAATGCATAGCCCTTGGGTGGAAAATACGACTTGCTCTCTGCTTTATGTGGCCAATCTACGACCAATGGCCCAAAACGCAAGAATGACTGTGTAATTTCATCTGAAAAAATGATTAACGTTATATAAACGCATATTAATTTAATTGATCACAAAAGATAGAATGTCAATCAACGTTAATTATTTTTAGTTTTTAATAATATTTATTAACTAGAATGTATTCAACTTTTATGATTAACATAATAATACTTCAAGGTAATATATGAAAAAGCGAAAACAGTGGATATTCAAAACGTACAGCATTGTGTAATAGATTTGTATCTTATAAACAGTATCAGAATAATATCGATATTTCTCTATCTACAAAAATATAATAGAAATCACCATACTTTTAAAATGAAGCAATTAACAAGCTGATCAACATACTAGCTCAAAGATTTTGAATGTTTCAGTATGAAGTACTATGAAATTAATAAGAAAGGCATATTGAAATTTTAATTCGGTAAGTTTCGGTAAGTGTGTATAGCAATAAATCAAGGCATATGCAAGAGACCTGTTATTCCTATTACATGAGAATATCACTCATCTGGTAGCTAGTTAGTTAGTTAGTACCTTCATCGATGTCTGGGGGCAGTCCGCCTACGAAAACTTTCCTTGAAAATCGTTCGCCGCCCTCGCTGCCCTGCGAGTGCGGTGAGGACCGAGACGGAGAGCCGCCCAGAGCAGCAACGCCGGCCGCGACACCGTCACCAGACAGAACACTGTCTTCGAGCATATGCTCCTCGAGACCAGGGAAAAATGGTGATTTTCCTAATAAGACAGATATTAATTATTCACTTATGAAATAGTATTTTAATTATTAATTAACAATTTTCATTTGATTGCTTTACGGGCATCTACATGGCTCATCGTTATACACTTTGACAATTGAAAAATTTTACCTTTAATTTCAATGTTGAAAATTACTTTAAAATTCAAGAAAGGTTATATAAGAAATGAAACTTTTTTATATAATATAAGTATAGAATCAGTTGCAAATAATATATTATTGAACAATTCAATATAAAGCTAGAAGTTTCCAAGTTTTGAATTCAATTAAGTAATTTAATGATATTTATCGACAGTTATTATAAGTGTGTCTCAAAAAATCATGTAAATTGTAATTATTGTAAAGATGGAATAAGAGCAATTACTTCACAATAGACCTCAAATTATATTTAAAAGCGGTCACTCAGTATAATTTTAAATAGCGCGGTATTAAAGCCTACAGTATCGGTTTGGTGCTGCGCTATATGACGCCTTAATCTTGTACGATCTAAAATTAAAACAATGATTTCAAGCTCGAGATCATTTCGAGCACCTGGCTAATTATTTACATTTCACGTAACAACTAAATATTCGAATGAAACTCGAAAGAATAACACATTCATAAACATGGATTTTTTTTTTGAGAATTTGATGAGAATTTTGAGAAAAACATACTACGGAAAAAAAACATTTAAGAAAATATATTTTAGATAAATGGCATAAAATTTATTATTTCTTCACATACATTTATTAATTATAATAAATAATTTCACAAAATTTATATATTTGTCTATTATTTTATTAAAATAAAGTGAAATTTAGAATATTTTCAAGCAATTTACAGTGTCGTGCAAAGGGACGGAAATATAGTTTAGGAATACCAGGCACACTCTAACACACGCGCATATACAATATTAAATAAATAAGTTTATATATGTATATACACACACACATATATATATATATATATATATATATATAATTAGCTCGACTTCAATAAACACATTAGAGATTGTCTATTAATATTCCTGAAGCTATTATGTGTAAATATACAGATTTATAGTTACTTGATTATAATGTTTATCTACTTTTGATAAGATTGAATTTAAATTTAGATAATCAAGAGAGCAGAAGTAGATAGTATCTTAAACAAAATCTTCTGTTGACGGAGCATAAACAATACTGTAGGCAAAGGTGTTTTATATTTTAATGAGTCTTCAACTTAATTCATTGAAACTATAGTTATAGTTTCATTCTATCGTATCTAAAATACAAATAAGTGAAATATTTGATAAATTTTCCTCAATGGATATTGGAATGAAATTCGTCTAGAACATTGAAAATAGTCGTGTAGTCGAAACAGGTGTTTTAGATATAAAACCAAATATTTGTCTTTAGCACGCTCAATCCGTATGAACAGAGCGTGCACATTGCCCGATGCCCGATAGGAACCGATGGCGGACACCGAGCGCGGTATAAGGTGCCGAGCAGATTCTAAAATTACACCAGGAGCAGGACTCCTAAGCGAACCACTGAATCGAATACGACGATTCGTGTCACAAATTAAACCCTATGTACAAACTCACTGAACCGAATCAATCGACTGTAATAAACATCTGAACGATGCGATCAATTAAAAAAGAATACGCTAGATTACTCTTTTTAATAGGCAGACTGATATTTTATTTTGCTAATAGAGAGTATATCAGTAGAAATTCTTGTGATATTAGCTAAGATACTCCACGCCACTTCAGTTAACTCTAAACGACAGCAACGAAGAAAGTATCATTTTCATTGCGAGGCTTTGAATGAATGCGATTTTCACCCTTAGCCATCGTCGAAATTGAAATAATGTATGTATATCTGTATATGTGTTTGTGTATAATATTATATATGGTATACTATTATGTATGAATCGTATCGGCGCACTCGCGGAAGGCACGAATGCCGTAGTTCGGCGCAACCGAATCGCGGGCCGACCTGCGTGTCAAACGACGAGGTTCGGTATATCTGTGCGTGTTAAATGAAAACTACGATTATCGGCATGCACATTGAAATATTCAATAGTATAATAGCCATATCAACAAGTCGTCCTTCGGGACCACTTTTACAGCCGATACCATACAACGATCTAATGTTTATGAACGAGAAAGATTAACGCGACCATTTCACTAATAAACAATTAAAGCTAGTTGATACTTGGCTGATACAATAACCTTAAATCAAATGATGACATACGCATAAACAAAAGTTCAAACAAAAATTATGATATATATATATATATATATATATATATATATATATATATATTCACTAATTGTGCTTAAATAATCGTAAAATCTTATCAAAAACAATTTGGCACATAATTCCATTTCCGCAAAGCGCAAGTCAAAACATATATATCTCGTATAAAATTATGTTTACTGAAAGCAATTTACCCATTCTTCTTCTAAGTGAGAGTTTAGCGCCTCGGATTATTTGATAGCCCAACATCTTATAATCTTGCTGTTTAAAATGTATTTATTATTGATTAACAAAATCGTTTTGATAAATTCTCGCGAACCAATGATTATTGAACTTCTTTTGTCAATTTTAGCATAGATCGTGTCCAATTGATCAGAAATAAATGAACATCTGTATCAAATAGGCTAAGCAATTATTTGATATGACTTCGAACAGGACTTTATTAGAATATAAACTCACAAGTATGCACTTCATGAAACGCTATTTTGCATATCGAATTATTGTTTCTTCTCTAAATGGTTAAATAATAGATTAAGTATTAAGTATGGATGTAATTAAACTCAATATATTTACTGACAAAAGCAAGAAATATACTGCTAATGTCTATATGTCGAAATAAATCACGACTGAAATTTCTACTGATAGGTTTAAAGGCACTTTTTGTTCCGACAATTTTTCTCATTCATCTGTATTTAGTTACATACAGTATTTGTGACATTTTATCACTGTTTCAGTTAGGTAAGAATAAGATTGACCCACAATCAATAAAAAAATACACATAAACAACTTTACATTTTCTAGATATAGATTTAAAAAAACTTTGGAAATGACGGTTTTTTGTTAAATGGATATATCGAAAAATCTTGGATCAAACAATGACGTGCAAGTTATTTCTATGTTAAATTTTATCACTATTTCTTCATTCGTTTATTTTTGTGAAGATTGCAGATTTATTACGTTCTGTAGTGCTGAAGTTTTCCGAATTAATTTTCAACTAGTGCCGGGAATATGATAAAATACTTTAATCGATAATGATAAACATAATTAAAAATAATTAACTTGTTTAAGATACAACACAAAATGAGTTTTAAGTATATTTATTAAATATACATAAAATAAGTAATTCAAATATTATGTCATTAAGAAAAACCATAAAGTAGTTAATTTTTTTATACAAAATATTACATTGGAACACATTGTAAAATTGTATTACCTGTGTTTGCCTGATACGGAACGTATTCAAAATATGTTAATTATATTAAAATATGAACAATGCTATAGAACTGTACTCTGTTTACATAATGTGCGAGTAAAAAATATTTATCAGACCTGAATGGGTGCATTACATCACATCGAAAATTATACATTTCACTATTATTGCTCATACGATAAACGTTACATGTCTAAAATTAGTTTTAATCTAACTTGGCATTAATTTTAGATACCATTATTCAACGAAAAATATTCAAGTTTAATTAATAAAATAAATGAATTGCTTCTGAATATGTAAAAGTATTTTAATATCTGAAATGCATTGAAGAGAATATTCAACGTACTTTTATATGAATTTCTAAAGAATTGAAAAAATAATATTTTAGGTATCTTATATTGAGGATAGTTATTATTGGAGTTAGAATAGGTAATGAAGCCGTTTCAATGTGCTTGTATATGAGAATATTGATTGAATTATTAAGTGTTATAAAAATGTTCTAAGTTCTACACGTTTTTTATGAGATAGGAATTAGAAAATGTTTTATACGGAGACATATTTATTTCCAACATTCTTTGCAAGCCAAACAATAACAAATACCATAATAAATGCTTGAATTTCGTTACATTAATTATTAATTAGTTCACAAAACATAATGTACCGGTATGAAAAATTAAATATTGAGAATGGAAGAATTTTTGTATAAAATATCAGGTTATATGTTAAACTCTGCATAATAAGAATTGCTGGATATATCATATTGCATTTGGATTTGAATTTATACTTTTCTATAAGCGATACTTCGCTAATAATAATTTTGTATTAGATATAATTACATATATAATAAATGTTCTAAAAAATTGCATATCATTGCAATTGAGTAATTTTAGCCTATATATAAAAATTTACATTTTTAGATCTATTAGATTATATCATATATTTCGAGTGACTCGATTTAATCATACAGATTTTAATAACTGAACATTTTATACAAAGAAAATTTAAGTTCTTAAAGACGAGTCAATAAAGTCATAGATCAGGCAATTTTAAAGTCTTCTTTTTTAATATTATTTGAAATTAAAAACCGTTCAGGAGGAAAAATAATTATTAACAAAATTTTGTTAATTATAATAATTAACGAAATGTATGCTATTTTTTACCTGCACGGGAATTTTTTATGATGTAAATATTGAATTATTAATAACTATTCTCAACAAGAAAATTAATAATAGTCGAAACCACTCAAAAACTTATTTGCTTATATAAATAGCATACATATTATTTAAACAATATAAATAATTATTTCCCTCCTCTGAAAGTATTCTGAATTTCAATAATATTAAAAATTAAAAATGAAAAAAAAAACAGAGCTGTTTCTGGAGACTTTCTGCGAGAAACCTTTATTGACTCCGACTATTAATTATGAAAGAAGTGTATAGCTCACTGTATAATATCGACATCAATTATTGCACTTTTCAATATTTGTTTAATAGCGTTAATACAAGATATGTTTTTGAGCAATGTGACTTTAGAAAAGGAGAAAATCGTAGATGTGCGTTTGCGATAATACGACCCATTGTCGAAATGATCCGCGCATGCCCCATACATAATACACTCACGTACATATCAATTTTTAAATTAATCAAATATTTCGTTGTCTAACAGAACAATATGCCAACAATAAAAAATGCAAATTATTGAAAAGCTTATGCCCGCGATCTAATATTTTGATAACTCTCCAAACCCTTGAGAAATTAGTATCCTTTACTGTTGTCGGTCAAACAACGATAAAATTCTTGCGTGACTGTTGGGATTCAAATCAATCGCAAATGTAAACAGAAATATCGGAACGGTTGTTAAATGTCACGGAATAATTCAACCCTCAACATCACCATACTTATGTTTATTTTACGTTTAATGCCTATTGGGAATTATTTTCTTATACAATAGCCCTGCTGGCAATGACGTGGACATTATTAAACATACGTAAATGTTGCCAATTATTATGTTTAATTTTGTATTATAAAACTTGAATAAAGTTTTGATTGACAAAAAAAAAATTATGTTTACTCGACAAAGTGCGTTGAATTTAGGTTGTACAGTATATATATATATATATATATATATATTGATATAAATATTTATATATTACATGTATATAATGCGAGCTTACCACATAACCATATACAAAATATGTAATTATTTACATAAACATTACCATATTCATGTACATGAATAACTATACATATAGTAACAAAATAGATAAAAATATACAATTGCATACCACATGCACGCTCATGATCATACATGTATACATGTATTTATTTGAGGTATTTTTGAAATAAGAATGACTGATGAGGTTTATAGTTTTTACTTTCATAATAATTTGTAACATAATCTTAACAAAATAACGATCTAATAATAAAATATATTATTCAACATAGGATAAATAATCACTTCACCTGATATTCATTGATTTGATCAACGTGATATAAATAAGATACAATTGTGTAGCGTGCTTTTAATGTATACCCTTCATTTTACAGTTGCCAAAAGACAAATTTATTTCATATAAAGCTTTCAGTTTATATAATTGAAGTATATAAAGTTCTCGCAACCAAAAAACATTATTACCTAAATTTATAATAGAATAATTCATTTAAATAGTAAATAGTTATATTGTACATATGAAAAGTAGTTTTTTTAATTTTGTTTTAAATATCTTAATATCAACACACAAAAGGACATTTTTACTATTCATGCACCTACATTTACTTCAGCATATATTCAGTCAAACATTTTAAAAGGCAAGGACACATGTACACTAGATGAAATGTCCGTAATCGAGATTTAAAATTCACAATGATAGTTTTTTGCACAATAGCATGATTCAATCATAAGTACTTGTAGCAAAGGTATAATATTCATTTTAATTAGTTAAATATATTTAAATATGAATAATATAATTTTTATAGAGAATTAGAGAGTTAGATTATATATTTTAAATATATTAATTATATATATATATATATATATATATATATATATATAGAATAGAAATATCTGATATAATTGGTAAATTTAAACTGACACACAAATACTTATAAATGGTGCAAATGGAAAGATCTTTTGCAATCAAAATGGCACATCATTAAGTTTATATTTATATGTATATATTATTTATTATTCAATTTATTCGATAAAAACACCGCCCCATTAAAGAAGAGTCATTCAAGGGTTTCGAAGGCGACGTTTCACATACTGCGAACACACTAGGACGTCGTTCGAGTCGCGCCACCGCCGGTACCCGACTTGCTAGGACCAGGACCTGGTGACGTCGCACCGATACTGTTCTGATTGGGATCCGAGGCGGACGGGCTGGGGGTGTCTTTTCTTGGCGGCATGCACTCGTTGATGGCGTCCAGGCCTTTCGCTTCCGCAAACGTGGTTATTTTGTGATTCGGCGAGAAACCTTGCAGAGCGTTCCGCAGCGATGTCTTGCCGCCCGACAACGCCCCTAGCGGCAGCGCTCCGGTCGGGGTCAACCCCTTCAGCTGAAGCACCGATTCGCTCTCCTCACGTAACACGGAGAATACCTTTGCCATTTTGCCAATCGCTCGAATTTTATTACGTATCGCCTCCTTGCGGACGTTCGCTTCGAGGGCATCATCTCCGTCTGACATTAATTCGTCATCCGAGCATATGCTCAGAACGTTTACTAACATTTCCGTTACCTTTTCGCCAACAAATGGCAACGACCACGTGAACACGTCCATGAAATTCGGCAGCCAATATGGATGAGGAGAACAATTGAACTGTCTGATGTTCATAACGTTATTTTCATATTTCAAAACAGCGGCCTTATTGTTATAAACATCTAGGTAATTCGGTGCCGAAAAGATCGTTATAAGCGACGGAAATCCTGTCGTTTGACTTTTACGATACATTCGGTAGCCAGCGTCCTGGGCTTCGTGCGCTCTAATAATCGATAACAAATTGTTGTTGTGTAGAAAGTCGCAACAAGCGGCGTAACTGTAAAAATATGAACATCCACGAACCGAATTATGCGAAAAGTGATCCGTATTGCGTTCATTACCAAAATCCTCCAGTGGATCGGACCACAGCAGATCGCACATTGGCCCGTAGGCAGGAGGCTCTTTGAATCGATCCAGTCGCCTAATATCTTCTAAATTATGAATTTCGGGCGACAGACCGCCATGCACGCATAAAAATTGCTGGTTCATTAAAGCCGCTAACGGTAGACAATCGAACGCATCCATACACGCATCGTAAACACGTTCAGAGTATTTGATTTTGCATTCTTGTTTAAAGGTAAAATATTCAGTTAAGTGTCGGCACTCGTGATTGCCTCGTAATAGGTATAAAGTTGTGGGATGGCACAATTTCAACGCCCATAAATATAAAACGCATTCTATGCTAAAATATCCCCTGTCGACGTAGTCGCCTAAAAACAAGTACTTGGTGCTGGCCGGCGAACCGCCTACCTCGAACAGCTTCATAAGATCGTAGAATTGTCCGTGAATATCTCCGCAAACTGTAACCGGTGCTTCGATATCAATCATCGTTTTCTCCGACCGTAATAAGGCCGCGCCATCTTGTATAATACGGAGTGCTGCAGTTTCATCGATCCGACCTTCCCTTATAAAGTGTTCTTTGAGTACATCGGGCCTCGGCTTGTCAGTACGCGAATCGAACACTTCCTGAACGGTAAGTCGATTCCGTGGCGGAAATGCTACGGTCTCGATTGTACGCTGTGTCGTCGACGGCTTTCCATTATTCGAAGACATTTTTATACTATTACACGCACTCTACACCACATACATTTGATAAATTTTTTACACTAATAACAAGTAACTGTATCACAAGCTTCGCGCCTTGCACCAAGATGGTTGTTCCCAGGCCCCGATACGAACTGCGCAATGTGTTGCGCACGGTCAATGCAACGCGCACGCTCACTGAACACAAAATCGACCGCGGCCGAAACGCACGAGCACGACTAATCGACGACAAAGACGGCGAAGACGACGGCTTTAGTGCTAGAGATTGTTGCGCAATGTCGCTGCCTTTCGATATGGCCGATATGGGCGATATGGGCACCACTTTAGAATTTCGTCTTGCATCGAAATTTAATTTTTAAACCAAAACAAATTAAGAATGTACTACTTGCGTACGATGCGACAGCGCTTAATGTCACTTGTCAGTACTATTTTAATCTCTTACTTTCATAACCTCTATTTCAATAAACAATCAGCAGACACTGCACTAGGGGCACCTTACATTTTCAGGATGACCTTCACCAGCTATTCATTCTTATCGTTCACGCGCATAGGACAGCATTTAATGTTTTAACATTGATTAATTATATGAACCAAGCAACAACTATATAACACGACACTAGAGAATGAGGTTATTAGCCATGACTTGACGTTCCCACTACCCACCTTACGTTTACGTTACGGTCTGCATTGCATGTGGCGCCTCTAACGAGCAACTACGCTATTAAAATTCAAATGATTATTGACATGCCCGCTGGATAAGACCGCCGGCACACACCACGCACCATGTTTATTCGAGACGTTTTGAAATTGATCAAACAAATCAAAAATTGATGCGAATTTCTTCGAATCAACTAAATATTAATTTTATTCTTTATAATGTATAATAATATATACGTAAATAATCAGACAATTGTGAAATTACAAGAAAATCTTTCTAAATTACAGATTAATGGGGCACAACATTCTAAAGTTTCTAATTATCGAAAATTGTCTGAATTAGTCTGAATAGAAATTATATGTTTCAGAAAGCCTATTTTATAATGGTTAGTAACATATATTTTCATAGACTTTTGCATATTATTAACCTTAAAAGGACAAACGCACTATTTGTAAATAAATAAGCAAAGAAAGGCTGCTAGTTATATTGAAGCCTCAATATCGGCAATGAATTTCAATTTAACGCTTTTTAAAGTACAATTACAAATATGAGTAGTAGTTATTTTATTGCATATTGCATTAATCGTATCGTTCATTAGAGTATATGTAACTGTTGCATTAAATCATGAATTATTTAATGAACATGTAAAATACCATACGATTGTTTTTATATAAAGTCAACAACATGGTATTGCAGGTAAATGAAGCAATGTTTAAATTATGGCAATTTATAACAGCTGATAAATATATAGTTGTTTATAGTGTTTTATTAGTCGTGCTAAATGATAAAATCGTGCGATAAAACCGAAGCAAACGCCTAAATTGGTATTTAAAAGTGTTTCCAATAATAAAAATCACTCACCGTGTAGCTGTGCAAGGGATTGAAGACTGTTACAATTCAAAAGACCTAAAAATAAAAACATGTATTAGTGGATATGTAATGCTGTAAATGCTAATTAATTATCTTGTATATACCAAACAGAAAAAATGCAACTGAAATTGCAAAGCATTTACAGCAGATATAAGGAATGCTGAAGCATTTGAAACATATTTGCTGCCTCGTCAATTTAAAATCAAACTGTTTTGCTTCTATGGTGAATATCGCATTGATTTTCCAGACTTTCATTCTAAATATGTAACAATCTATCCTGTTATTTTTATCTATATATATTATTGAACAGATATATTTGTTTTGTACTAATTAGACAAGAATCTCATCATTGTTTGATTTACCGACCAACAGGGAACATACATATATGTTGTAAAATTTCACCTTTGATGTGCTCCGATGGACCATCTCCACCTCCGCGCATGATATCATTGAGATAGTGCTCCAGCGTTCGCATCGTATCCAGCGGAGAAGCCCCATTACCAGCATGATGCCTATCCTGGAATATCGAAATTCTGTTATAAACGCCCATATCAACTAAAACATTGTTTTTAATGCGACATAAATGTATTTAAGTTATACTAGATTTAAATATCATATGCATTATCTATTGGACTGCATAAAAATTAAAATAGATTAAAATTTCATCGCAAAGTTAAAATAGTCTTGTAATGATAGTTAAGATCTTGAATGGGATATATAGTAAAATATTTTGATTTTCATTGTGTAGAAATAGAAATATGATTATCTCATTCATCACAAAGAAAAAATTGATCTTATCATTGTATACTAGACAATCCACAACAGTTCCAGATAATTTACGTCATTTTTAAACAAAAAACACAAAATATTGTCACATTGAAAATTTTACTTAAAAAATGAATTCTTTAGAAAAAACCTTTCTTATTTCAGTGCTAATGAAATATTTTACGGGACTAAAAATAAATTTGGATATTAAAGTCAACATTAGAAATGATTTTCAACACGATTTATTGGTTGGCCGTGCAAATGTCAATTTTTGAATCAATAATCAGTATGCGCCAAACGCTGACGATGCTATGAGTAATGCGATGCTACTGACTCTTATGCCGAGTGACTGATGTTCTGACCCATTTATCACGAAATTCTAATAAATATTATTTCTAATATTTACCATGATAATCACAAACAGAACATTGATTGGGCCTTCTTCTGTTTTTGTTAATATTCTATTGTACTTAATAAGTACAATAGAATAGTATTTATTTCAAATCCGGGACGGATATATTTTCTTATGTCTTATCATAATTCAAAATATTATCTTAATTGATAATATATAATACATAATAGTAATAGACAAAAACTTTTTAATATAACATTTCAAGCTGAATCATAGGCATCCCACTTTAATTTTACCCTGAAATATAATGCAAATATTATATATCCCATTATTTAAGAATTGCACTATAATTTTCATTCGAAGTTGATATAAATGTATATTTTTTAGTTCAAGTTTGCGATGAGTTAATTAAGGCCCTAGGTAATAAAATAGAAATATAACAAAATCGCTGCTATTTTGAATAGTTTGATTTGATATTAATAAAATTATAACGGCCAGCACTGGTTAAAGACAAGTACATCGGTTTTGATATTAAACGCTTAACTAATGTAAATTAAATGATTAGCATGGATTTAAAATCGAGTTTTTTTTCTAACGCCCCACTAAACATAGAACACAATGGCATGTATATCGATCTAGCGTGGTTCTGCCCACCCACACCACGAAGAGCGCGCGTGACCTAGATTGAAACCTACCCTTGGAGGAGGGTAGTCGACGCTTCCAGCCAACATTACGCCACTAAGGATATGGCCACAAAAAAGTTTCCTACAAAATTAACAACTTCTACTAATAGAAAATAAATCAAAATCATTTCTGTTTGTCTAGTCATTCAATGATGTAAAATTCAATGATTTTCTTCGAAGCACTAATGTAGCCTTTCAGGATAATTTATGTTGAAAACAGCGCCTTTATTATTTAAAGCAAAGGATGAGCTACTAAATTAAAAAATCGTGTTAAATGTTCAACAAAAAAAACAAATATTGTATTAATTTACTAGACTTCAGAGGTTCATAAACCATTTTAGAACCGACCACTAAAAGACTAAATGAAATTAATCGATATCGTTAGGAATATGTAATTGATCGTTCGTAGTAGTAATCAAACAACGTTATTTTGGTTATGCCAATTATTCATTTCCTGGTGTACACTTTAGGATGGGCTAGTCTTACAATTTAATTCATTGTAATGAATTTAATAAAATCATTTTAATTTAGTTACTTATTATATAACTAAGCCTGGCAAGAGCCTGAAATAATATTTATTATTATTAATTACGGCTTGCTTATGAAAAATAAGCAAAAAAAAGATTTATGACATATTAATGTAATTAAAATGTTAACTTCGAAAGTTCCATCTGTAAATATTACCTATGAGAATAAAAATATGGCATGTCAATGTAATGTCTTTTACCTTTTACATAATAAAATAATAATGATATGCGAGCTATCGGCTGCATTTTCATAAAGTGAAGTATCCAAAAATAGGTACACAGGTTGTGCGAGTTGTACAATCTTGAAATCACGAACGTCGTGAATCGGGGGGCAACGGGGCAACGGGGCAACTAATCGTAAGCCGCATGAGCGTCAGTCAAGTCAGTTCAGTACGCATGACTCGTGTGCATTTTTAATGAGGCCCGATTAAAAATTAGATTCGAGGGCGAAGGACGTCCGAGCCGAGCGACCGGATACATACATATTTGTTCGGTAATACGACTAGCCCATTTGGCTAGCCCTAACATCAGCAACAGCTAGAAGAACATTCAAATATTTCGACTATATTAACGGAAACAGTACGGAGATTATCGAATATGAACGGATATACGCCCTTAAAAAATAAAATACAGAAACGCAAAAATCACATCAGACGAAGACAATTCTAGAATAAAATGTATTTAATTTGAAAAAATAAACTACTGGTGCATGGCATCATGCCTTAAGGCAAATTGCTAGATCTTCTCGTAACGTAATTTGAAAATGTTGAAAAAATAGAATTTTAATATAATAAGAATATCATAAGTCTTGGTACGAAGCCCAAAGGAATAGAAACAAAATTCATTCATATAGTAAAATCTCTATCAATAATCAAACGACTTGATGTACATAAGTCTAATTATCATTATTGACCGCGAAATAGACTTTTTTAATTTTGTTTTGGATCTGCAAAACCGCTGGTCCTGCTTTTCCAAACATTTAATCAATTCTTCATTCTGTCAATACAAGTAAAATGCTTCGAATCAGTCAAATTGGACTCTCCGTTCTCTCAAAAACTTAATTACTATTTTTGGCACTGATTGCTCCGTAATTCAAAATGGCTGGACCTGCCTTTGACAAAAACTAATTGGCATGTCTCCCCATTAATAGGAATCAAATGTTTTTTGAATAATTTAAATCGGTTGATTCGTGCTTTCGAATAAGTAGACGAGTGTATCTAAACATATACATACATATATACTACTCACACACACACACATACATCAACATAGATGTTATTACATGCTTATTGTTATGTACAATAATATTGATGGTAAAAATGAGTTTTTCATCAAAGCAGAACAAATGTAATAGCGACATTTTAAGACTTCATTATAATTAAGAAATAAATGTAAGCTAATATATACATATATATATATATATATATATATATATATATAATATAAATTAACGATAATAATTTCGTTTTATTTTCTTATCCTTTTCTTTCTTTCTGTCTTTTTGTTTAGTCATATTTTGTAAAATTTTATATCATTCTCATATATATCAACGCATCTACAATTTCTGATTAAACCGAATAAAATATCTACTTTACTTTTAAATTTTTTTGCTATCAAAATATTGAAATGGTACTTACCAACAGGACTATTGAAGAAATTCAATGGCTGGATGTGCAAAATTGAACAAATCTTAAAATGTCTACTTGTAGCAAGATGTTGTATAGATGTGCAGTAGGATTTAATTTTATTAATGTTATTAACTGCAATAAGAATTTGTAAAGGTTTTTGGAATCGGGAAGGAAAAAACGCGAATAGGAAATAATCAAGTGTAAATTGTCAGAATAACTTCATCAAAGTGAACGTAAAAGATACTACTGCTTTGTTACACAAATTAACAACAATGAAAAAAGACGCTTCTCGCTTAATAAGTGCGACTGAGCACATTTAGGATAATTATAAAAATATTTCAAATTCCATGAATTATTTTAGCCATGCTCAAATAATCAAAACTCAGCTTTCATGCTTCTTGCAGTTGTCATACTCAGGACATGAAAAAGTTTTATGCAAAAATGATAAAATTCTTATTATTTTCAAAAATGAATTTTATTTATTAAGATTTTTATTCATTAAATTAGATGTGTGGATGTGCTTCCTTAAATGACATAGTTTTTTAGTTTCACATTGAACGGAATCTCGATCCTTTTCAATAAACTGCTAATAATTCAAACAAATGACATTTTCAGAAAACTAACTAATAATAGCCCCGAAAAATAACTGTTTTAGATATTTTTCTAGCTAAATTATGAAAATTTCACATTTATCAGTAAATAGGACTGACAATGCCGCCTAAAAAGCTAACTAACGCAATTTCTAGGTGATAAACTTGAACTACATCAATTTCATTGGAGTGGCAAAGGATTGGGAACTCAATTACTTCTCGCTGAAGCCACATTCTTATTTTTTTACTAAAAAAATATATGCTTCGTCTATAAAGAAAATGTTTCTTTTGTCTAACAAAACAATTGTAAGCATTACTGATTGATGTAAGTATGTTGAATGTAAATCATATTAGACACAAAACTAAGCTAGGAAATAAGTAAATGATTGGCGTTAGATTCGATTGATATTCGATGCATACGAAATCATTTATATTTGCATTAATACAAAAAAAAATGAAATGAAATCAAGCAAAAATGGATAAGGGAGGAAGAAGAAGGGTGAACGAATAAAAAACACATCACAAAATTCACAGCACATTTATTGTGTTAATCAAAAATAAATCTGAAAAAATTAATAAAAAACATATAGTATTATCTACAAAACAAATTAAAACTACTGCTGCAATCAAATAAGGGATCATCGGCCACTACTCGGAGCATATATAGTAAGAATAAAAGTACATAATCATCACAAACACATGCTTCGTGTAGCGATTCGGGCAATCTCTTACGAATTGCAAACAAAATTATAACTAATAATAAGGTGTTTCAAATTATTGACAATACTGAAAAGAGCAACACAAATGAATAAATTAACAATAAATCAAAACATAAACATAAACACATAAGTTGTATTCATCAAAATGCAAATCTATATAGGAGTCGTGATTAACCAGTTAACTGTGGCGACGAGGAGATTTGTATCGTCAAACACATAGCAAGCAGCGAGGTTAGGTTTACAAAATTTAAAATTCCACTACTAAATTTTACTTCTTTGCCTATCATAAGCATATAAAATAAAAGGTATTAAATAAATTCAAATAAATATTATAGACGTGCACATAAAAGAAAGATTTCCAATTCTTTCTTCGGAGTGATACAGATATTCTAAAATGTAATTGGCCCCTAGACATACACGAATATGCGATACGCGAATAAAACTGGTTCAATTATGAAAGTTCATTAAAATTTTGAATAATGATTCGAATTAGAATGTGTCTAATAAATTAATTTAATAAAATTACATATGTCATAAGTTTCTTTGAAATATATCAAAGCCCTATTTTCGAAATAAACAATTGAAAACTACCTGATAACTAAATATCAATTATTGATTAAGTTATTTACGCACGTCGAGAAGTTCATGCAAGTTGTCTTAAGATAAAATACCACTTACACAGTTACACCTACTTTTATACTGCTTATGAATAGACAAAATCCTGCACTTCTCCATGACGAGTATTCTCGTCAATGACAGTTAACTGGTTAAATCAATTTTATATAATATTATGCAATTGATTTATATAATTCAGGGTGCAAGAAACTCAGGATATATATTTCACAGGATCACGTCTAATGAATTAATTGACTTTAATTGATTCTGAATTTTCACCTCTGTTGTTACATCAGCATTTATAAATTAGTAATTTATGTCAATCTGCAAAAAGTATATTATTACGCGATCATAATTAAGAAATCTTATAACACCTTTTCAAGGTGTACTACATAATCTACTATCCAGCGGAAATTGTTTAATACGAATTGATTACTATTTATATATCCAGAATTGGTTTCTATTCTACCCTGTTTGTCATTTTGAAGTAATATATTCTTACCGGGTATTGTAGTGAAATAATTGGGTTTCAATAACGACAAGCCTTTTTTACTTGTAAATTATTATCACGTATCCTTAGCATATACCTGTAAATTGATCCGTCGTTGCATCTATCTCGGAAAATAACAAACACGAGACGGTCTCAAGAATACTCTAATATAAATCTAATATTATCTGTAAATAGTAGCCGAAGGCGCCTCAAACTTTCACTTGGTTCGGTAGAATATTTATTAGAATTATTTTCGGTTCCTTCGAATATTTTAAAATCACGCTCGGACACGCTCGGATCATTTTGATCAACTTTGAGAATTAAAAAATTAAATAACACGATAAATTCCAATTGAAGAAAAAATTGAAATACTTCAATTATAAACGTGTAACATGAAACATCAATAAATTATTGGTTACTATTCAGATTTTAGAATCAATAATTCTTTGGGTAGAACATATACTTAATTTGAAACTAATAATTTATAAAAATGGTTCAGGCTAATCCGTAACATTGTGGAAAGTTTCCATAACCAATTTCGCGCTCAAATAAATATATATGTCAATCATTTGCATTTTAATGAATTTCTATAATTGTACCTAATTATCAACATACTAAATCTCTACATCAAAATTTATCACAGTTTTCGACGACCACAATATATTTCTATTATGGCTGAAAAAATTAACATAAACCCCTCAGGAAAATTATTAAAAGTTAAAAAAATAACTAGTTTCTTTAAATGTTTAGAGCAAAATGTTTATAAAGTTTATATCGCACGATTTAGGAACTTAAAAGCTCTCGCAACAGCCAATGTCAATATATACCAGTACTATTTTATTGATTTGTACGATTACAAAAAAAACTATTCCATTAAAATCAATAACAGATTTGGATCCGAAATTTAATTCCCCATTTTAGACAATAAAATATTATAATTTCGTACAATATGTGTCAGGAAAAATGCGAATCCAAATTTCCAGAAAACCATCAAATGAAAAAATTTAACAAATCTACCACCAACTTCATACAACAAATTGAGAGCCGATGTGAAAATGATCACTGGCATTCCAGTTAAAATACTTTCACAAAGTATTCTTTGTAAACTTGCATCAAAACTGTTATTTATAATCTTCATGAAAAAATAGCCAAAATATAATATTTTCATATGTTTAGTTTTAATTAATATTAAACAATATTTAAAATAAAAGAGGGATTAAACAAAAATTATTTAATGATTATCTCAAATCTTTCCCGTGCAATAATAAATATTTTTCAATCATAAAGTATTCTAATATTGATCAGTAAAACTTTACTCTTCGAGTAAAAAATAGAAAATGTTACAATACATTATTATTAAATTTAAAATATATAAATTGTTTCCAATTGTTGTCACAAATGGATGAATATAGAAAATAATGAATAATGTAGTTATGCATGAGTATATTAAAGACATACTTAATTGATTTTAGAAGTAATTGGTTTTTTTATATAGAAATATTTATGCTTATTGTTAGCTAAACCTATTTATAATATACGATAAGTTGCAAAAACTGTATGCTTCAATTTATTTCATTTAAGAATCATAGAACGACTATTCTATTATGAATCTTGGCTTCCCAATATAATCTCATACTGGAATAATATTAGAAAGGATATGACAGAAAAATTGAACCGTAATATCAAATTTAAATATGAATATTGTATGTTGATAAAAAACATTTTTTTATTCCTCTTTCGATTTTACTTACATATTTTGTTAAGTATCAGGTACAGATCAGATAATTTTTTCATAAGCCAAAATACACAGCGTGTGTACTAAATATTATTCATTTAAATTTAAATAAAATTCAGCTATAATTTCGGTTCGGAAATCTAGTTACAGTTGGAAAAATTCTAAATGACTAAATTGGTATGTAACATTCAGATTAAATGTGCATTGCTTAGAAAATAATCAAAACAAATGTTTCTTTCATTATGCAAGATGAGCGAAAGACCAAGAATTTAGATTTTTTAACAACAGTAATGTAATAGCTAATGTCTTCAACTAATCGAACAAAAATTTTGAAAATATTTGACCAAAAGTCAATTTTTCCTAATTAGTGAAAACCAGGTTAAATAGCTGAGTTTCAGAAAATAGTGTTGCATAGTTGTAGGTTAAATCGGTAACGGGTCGTGACCTAGTTTTCATAAAATGCACTCTACAATTATATAGGTCAATAGGTCAAAGGACACCTAGATGTAGGTTAAGTTTTTCCATAGCTAGTTTCCTAGATTCACGAACACGAGCTTTGTCAATAATGTACCATTGAAAAGAAATAAGTTACTTTTTAAAAGCTACAATCGTCTTTCAGACGTAAACTGCAGTTGTCAAGTAAAGAATATAGATCATTAATAGTAGTTGATGGAAATAATTTAATCAATATTTTAAAATATTTCTTTGTAAAAATAGTATTTTTTCTTCATATAAATCTCGCTTTGAATTTTGTTTGATATAAAAACTTTTATTGACAGTACATAATCGTAATAAAATTACAAAGAACTTTGTGATGTTCCGTATTAAAGAAATAATTAATTATTATTTATTGCAATAGAGTTTTCCATTTCGAAGCCAAATCTGCCCGTAAAAAACATGCGTGCGGTTTTCATAATTTGGGTTTGTTATAAATATATATAAGTGAGTCAATATTTAAAACAAATATAACAATTAATACTTAACTAGGAAAGAATCTACTAGACTCTGAGCATAAATAAAATTTACAACAATTAGCCACGATGAGGGAAAACGTAGTTACGATCGATTTTTTCAACACTTTTGCGTTATTAACGAGTACAAATTAATTTACTAAATTTAGTGACACATATAATGGGAATATAGTGAGTGATTTATTTCAAATTTTATAATTGATTATAAAACATTTCCAGCAATTGCTGCAGAAATATCTACTTAAAAGGTATCCTAATGAAAAAATGTTGTAAATATTACAATTATCACGAAAGTTTTCCAATGTAATTTCATAGTGGAGTAAAATTAGATCAGATTAGATAGGAAAATTAAAATGCAATAATTTCTACCTAATGTAAATATTGTGTGTATGAAATCTTCAATCTGGTGTACTTTTTAAATGAATTAGATAGATAGTTCGAGTATAATAAACGGCATAAAACAAGATTCATACAACGGTAACTGATAAGCGTCACGTGACAAGACGCCGAAGAAAATTAAGTAGCAGCCATGCTAAGAAACCTTATCGAATCTTAAATTCTGTAAACAGAAATTAGATGAACAATTTCAATTTTATAGACTCGATGAGTTTCGAAGTATGTAATAGGTAAAGGAAATGATTAAAATACGGTCGGAGTCTAATCAAGAGTCGATTCGCATTTGTGCAGTTAACAAATGGTGTTTATTTTGAGTGAATTAAGTTTACAAGTTAACAAGTTAAGTTAACTCATCTCTATTGTTAACTAAAAAGCATTGCTTTTATTCAGGCATGCAATCACATACTCATACAAGGATAAAGCAAACATATTTGGCCCAAATTATGATGATTAGAAAATTTACTCTTGAAAAAGTAATAAGAAATCAATTAAATAACAGGCCATAAAGAATAAGCACGTCTCATTATTAGTCTGATAGTCTGTTACATAACAGACATTATATTCATTTAGTGAAATTCACCGTTTCCATACAGAATGATAATTTATAAGTTTACATTTTGAATTTCTAGTGAAATATTCAAGATTTCAAACTTTCCTGTTTACATGCTAAAATTACTCCACTAAAAAACAATTATTGCTAATTAGTATGGCAAAATAACAAAGTGCTGTTGACAGTGTGCTACGAAGACGAACTTTTCTAAACATACACACAATTATGCTTAACTCTTGAACGGGTACATGATGCAATTATTGAAAATGATATTTACCTGATAGGGCATCATGTCGTCTAGCACTGTCGACTCGAAGGGTGCCTGCTGCGGTTGCTGGTGGAAGCCTGGAACCTTTCCTGGGTAAGAGGTGCTGCGTCGGAATTTAACCGGAGATATAACCGGATGTTGAAGGTAAGCGGCCGGTCCAGGTGCTGGTTTCCGCGCTGCAAGTGCAGCCATCGGGTTTAGGTTGGGCACGGAGCGACCACGATTCCAGGATGCCAATACATTCTGATTCTGGCCGGAGGGCCAAGCGCTGGGCTGCGGATTTGACCAGGTCGGATAACCACTTTTGAAGGCATTATGCTGTTGAACAGAAAGACCGCGCCCGACAGGGTGCTGGTAACTCTGCGTACCCGTCACCGGACGTCGTTGGGCCGAATTGATGCCGAGCGAACCGTTGAACAGGCCCCCCGATTGGAAGTTCTGGAAGGAGATCCCGTTCATGGGCATATGTTGTTCCTCAGGCGTCGACCATAGCGAACCGCCACTGGCGTTACTGCTCGCGTTCAGATTCGATTCGGATGTGTAAGGTAACGAAATCTGAACATTTAGCGACGGGTCACTTTGTGAAACTTTTTCGTTCGTATTACTGTTTATTTGTTCTTTGTTTGGTTGTGAAGATCCATTATTGTTATTGTTTACTATCGCATTCGTAGTAATTTTATCAGATGAGATAATAGACGAAACGGTTGTGGTTTCGGCGTTCAATTCATTCTGCATCGTTAAGTGACTCGTCGGCACTGATTTTGCTGGTGTATAAAATGCTGAACTCGATGTCGTAATTGCCGACGAGTCTGCCGTGAATTCTATAGGTGCACTTGCATTCCCTAAGCTGTTCGCAGTAGTGAACTTGAAATCCCCCATTTAAAGATTATACATGGACTTACGATGTCGATATTAAATCGTATACATATATGGCACAATCACTACGTTAATGTTAATTTTAATTGATGTTCAACTTGTCTCTAGAAACAGACACGGTCACAAACACTTTCAGCTTTTCCACTTTGCACGGCACTCGAACGCATTCGGGTCGTGAGCCGTCGCAGCTGATGGCAAGCAGCCGCGTATTCTATTGGCAGTATCTAAAGTTCTAACCTTCGCGCATGACTGTCTACACTTTTTCTATTCGATTCAGATGTGCCGTAATCATTTTTTAATTATTCATTTAATGATCATTCACGCGGCTGCCCTCCCACTAGATCACGTACTAGACTTTGATTAGAGAATTCTCTAACAGCGTAAAAAAATATAAAATTAATATCACAGAAATACTTATGTCGCCATTACATTTGTCTACTACTTAAATGTCACTTTTCTATATTGGTACTATTAACATGTCATGCGCATAACAGATGTTCGATAATTCAGAGGCGGCAATTTAAAATATTCAAATACACAAAATCATAATGTACTCTCAATCTTGAACAAATTACTTTCTGATTTATATTATAAACAATGTCACACATAGATAAATGACTATCAATTTTATCGAGAGTGCATAAGAGTATATTAACCATATTTAATAAATATGGAATTCAATTTAAAATAGATTTAAATGATGCTCTATTATAATACTGATTTTATTTATTGTTTAAATTGATTTTTTTATAAACAAATCGTTATACCTTGAAAATAACAACTTTTATTTATTACACATCCTTTTGAGTTATTCAAATCTTATGAAACCTAGTAATTAGTGGATAAAGTAAATTATACATTTAATTGTTCAATGTATAAAATATGCATTTTGATGTGAAAAGTGGTACTAAACACGGCATTACTGGTTTCACAACACTATTACACACATAACAATCTTGACGTTTGCTATAACAGACTTTGAATCACCAATTTTTACAACTAGCACATTTGAAATTAAATAATAAATATAAATGAATTAATAAAAGTGTCACCATAAAGAAACTTTATTACTTAACATTATATGTTACTGTAATCAAACACAGTCAGGATCTTCCACAAGACCATCAGAATAATGTTGACGTCCAGCCATCTCCAAGATTGCTTTATTTTCCTCATTTCCCATCAATACACTTTTACCTTTTTTTTTATCAGAACGTTCACCCTAAAAAGTAAAATTGGGATAAAATAGAAATATATTAATGTCAAATGTAATGTATAAAATGTGAATGTGGACAATATAAAGTTATGAAGTTTTATTTAAAAATAAATGTTCAAATGCAACATCACATTCATCAATTCATCATTCATTTTTTGGCTTTAATGGGTTCTCTTCCATATTCGTAGCCATATCTTTAATATTCTCAGAAAGTTGAGGTTTTCCAGCCATCTCCAGCAATGCCTTATTAATAAAATTCCCATCGAGAATTGTATTTCTGTTAGAATATTTGCTTCTTTCTTTCTGTAATTATCCACTTTCACTATGCATGCACGCAAAAATTGAAATAGCGAAATAATTAAGTAGTAAGCTTATCATACCAATTCTTCAGCTGACAATGGTTCTTCGTCCACTGCCCAAACTTCTAAATTCTTAATTTTAAAATCTTTGGATTTTGATAATTGTTGATAATCTTTATATGTTGTACATGACTCACAGCTTTGTCCAATTCCGTAATCATTAGACAAAAAGAATCCCCAAAAGTTAAATTGACCACCCATTCCCTACAATAAAAATGTTAATATAGCAATGTACTCTAGGAGTCATTAAACTTTCATAATAACTCACTAATCCATTAGGCATTGTCTGTTGAAATGTGTTTAAATACTGATAATGATCGTTATAGCTTGTTGAAGCATAAATCCTCATCTGAGGTGCTAAGGTAAATAAGAAACTAGTGTTTTTACCTGAAAATGTAACAAGTAATTAATTTTATACTTTTCATCTATTAAACTAAAAATAAAAATGTTATAGACCAAAAAAACGAGGTCCAACCACCCATGAATCTGTGGCAAAGCCTCCAAAAATATGACCATCCTCATCTTCAACTATTAATACTGTTGGCCCTTGCTCTAATATTCGCCCTAGTATTCAAAAAAATATTATATAAAATATTTGAACTTAAATCTAAAATTTAAATATTGAGATTTGCAACTAAAAGCTTAATATAAATAACTCTAAGATTTCTTATGAGAATAAGATGCAATTACTTGAATTAAAGCTTATATGTTGAACATTAAAAAAAATACCTAGTAATGTGTTAAAACTGTTTCCATGAACACGACTAGAAAATAAGAATCTCCATTCTCTTTGGCACTCAATTGGTAAGTTACTGCTAATAAATAATAATTGAGCTATGTCAATGATTGGTGTATAATCAGGAACAATCCTCAATCCACTACACAAAGGCAACATATCAGTATTAAATGCATGAAGATTAACAAAGCTGCTAAAACTACTTTTCCGACGGCTATGTGTGCTTGTCATAGAATTTGATTTATTTGGTTGAGATGAGCCTGATCCATGTTCGATGTAATTGTACACGTGAGTGAAAATATGTGACATCATTTTTATTATAGTGGGACTATGATTGAACCTACAATAATAAAATAAAGATTCCTCTTTATATTATAATTTGTATAAGTATGAACAAAATATCAAACCATTTAAATAGATCCGCATGTCGAATTCCATTTCTTGGATTTCCAATTGTATGTGCCAATCCTTCGCCAAATCTGAGTAAACATTCATTGTGAATACTAAAACCACCGGCTGACCAGGAATGGTAACCAGGACTATTCTGAATTTTTAGCACTTTAACATAACTTGATACAATGCACTCAGCATACTGCAAAAATAATTATTTTAAAGTAAGTTTTGGACAATTTAGAGTCTTTTGTAAATTTAGGTGATGATTTTAATCCTAACGTCGTTAATTAATGAGATGTTTCCAATTAAGACATCTTAACACAATGAATACTGATGCACAAATAAGTACAGTGAAACTTTTACTTATTCAATCTTAATTTTATATTCAATATGAATTTTACCTCTTTAATAAGTGGATATGGCACTTCAGCTTCTTCATCTGCATGATCTAAACTTTCCAGAAAAACAGATACTCTTTCTTCAGGTGTTCCTGTACAAAAATTACACCAGCAAAGAGAATTACTTTATTTTATGTCAATATTAATTAAGTTACCTCTTACTGAGTACACAAACAGTTCAGCAAAATTTTCAAAATTAGTCAAATGGGTTTTACGTTCTCCAGTTCCAAATAAGTAATTGGATACATATTTACAAAGTTTAGGATCAATTTGTGTACTCCAAATTCTCTGATAATAATAGTTATTTTATTTTACAAAGATATTTATTCAAATGCTATTTGCTATTGTCAATTGGAAACTTACAACTAAATCATCATCTTTTATTTTCGAAGTGTTTTTGCTAATGTGTTTGAATGATGTTTGAACTACCTTAATTTCGTCGTTTGTAAGGAGATTGAGCTTGCTTTTTAACTTTCCATTTCCGTTACCCATTTGGCTTTCTGGTACTGCGATTGACTAGTGTAAACTATAAATTTCTTAGTAACATATATATATATATATATATATATATATATATATATATATATATATATATATATATATATATATATATATATATATATAGATTAGTAATTAACATTCAAACCAATCACCTTTAAAACTTATCAGTTTATTGTATAAATCTAACGTGCGTATAGTTAGCGTATATTTCGTAATATTGCGCAAGCACAAATAGGTCACTATGATTGTGGCTCACATTTTGCAAAGAGAACACAAAGGAACATAATTGACAATAATATTAATAACAAATAAATATTCGGAGCACGCAATCGTCCGCAATCGTTTAGCAGCCCATTTTGCTTATCTGTCATATTCAATGACGTCCAGGTGCTTAATGAGAAGCATCTACATTGACGCAAATTTGCACATCCAAATATTTTGCCGTCTAGTGTTTGATATTGTAATAGAGTCGGCACACAATCTAAAACAGTTAAATGAAACACGTAATATGGGCATATGGATACTAATGAATTTCGATAAGATAAAAAGTAAAAAATTCAGATAAGATTTAATTAAAACAGTTATGCAATTATAGATAACTGATTATGATAATAATTTTTTCAGAATTATTTAGAAAATCTTATTATTTTATTCCGCATCACTAACGTTCAGATTATTTTTTTTTAATATATACTCTTCCAAATATTTCAATTTCCTGATATTAAATATTAAACACAATTAATAGAATTCATATAAAATTCTCATTACATTCCACTTTTCATATATTTTCTAATCTATACATTTTAATGTCTATAATAGACTGACAAGATGAAAACATTTTCCAAATATAATACAATCTATTTTCAACATATTTTTGCTTATATACATTTATATTGCAACATTTTTAAGAGATCAAAATCTTTTATTAATAGACATCTCAAATGTCACAGAGTTGATTTACCATTACAATTATCTAATTCAATACATAATTTATTATCACTTAAAAACAAAATAATTGAAAAATATTTATATAGTAGGTTAATATAATAAATATCTTACAGATAATAAACTATATCAAAACATTTTGTTTGTAAATATTTATTAATAATTAAAATTTATACATGATAAAATTTGGAATTTTTCTTTAATTATAGCTCATTTTTTCACTTAAAAGTTAGTTACTAATAGTTAAATATATTCATGTTGATTCGTGTAATCAATCATATCAATTTGAGCAATTTTCAAACTTGAAATAATTTCCTTGTTTTAATCGTAGGCCAAATAAATTTTGATAATTTTTAAGAAAATTGTAATTTTTTAATTTGGTATGCTAGAACTTTATATATATTAGGTTGTCAAATATCTCCCTTCCGCTTTTATATATATATATATATATATATATATATATATATAAAGCGGAAGGGAGATATTTGACAACCTGATATAAACCAAAAATTACGCAAATATATTGAAAATTTCATATCATTTTTTTTTTAGGAATTTCAGTTTTAAAAAATGTAACATGGAAGAGTTTAATAAATAGTAAGTTTAATAAATAGTAACTGCACAATATAATTGCATGCTGATTTTAATATTTCAAATTCTCTGTCTATGGATTTACATGCATGATTTTTTTTTATAAATCAAAACTTGGTTTTCTAAAGCATAAAATGAATATAAATTCTTTGAATACATTTTCTAAATTAAAAACTATATTAAACATATACCAAAATATATTAATGTAATAAACATTAAATACAAATAAATATAAATATTTTATACAAGAAGTGAGAAAACTGATGCGCCCCATATATCATTTAAAAAGAAATTATTGCCATATAATGACACATTTGGAAGTTTCTAAGAACACTAAAATTAGTTCTGGCTATTCATAATTCATTACTTTTTGGTTAAACATTCATACAATATTTAGTGGTTTAATCTGTTTCAGCTCGCATTCCCCTGACTTCGCCTTGATTACGTTGCTTGTCCAGTTCTTCCTTAGTTCGATCTTCTATTGCACGAATATCTTGCATCGTTAATCCATGCCAGCGGTCCATCCAACAGAACACTTGCCTATGAATAAATAACATATAAATAAGAAAAATTAATAAAAAAAGTGATCAAAAATCAAAAGGTTCTTTAAACAAAATTTTCATGATTATATATATAAATGTGATGTGTGCTTTGATTTGTCGCTGTAAAAAATTATAGTTGAATAGTGATATTCGCTAATGAAAGCTTTGGTTATGTGACCATTGATTTAAATAATAAGAATATAATAAATATAGCTGAATCTAAAAATGTTTATCATTTGTTTGTAAATCTTATTAAAAATGTTAGTTACCTGTGAAAGTTTGTGAATAACCTTCGTTCTGACTTTTGAATGAAATTTTCTATCCTTGTCTAAAAAATTAAAATTATATGAATGAATAATTATTAATAAAAAAAAACTATTGAATATTACTTCATACCTGTAAACCAAACCACTTAAATTCAACAGTGACTAGTTTATAACAGGTCATTACTGGATTTTGATTATTTTTCCATCCTGGGCCAACTAGAGGCCCTCTGCCTGTTTTCTGAGATTTGAATTTAGTGGGATCCTCGTCCGGCTTATAATCTGCTGTAGTGACAGGATCATTGGCAATGTCTATATGTACAACTTCACGATTCTTTAGCTTGTCACCAGTTAACTCATGTACCTAAAAAATTATGAAGCTCTATACTTTCCTCAAAACAATATTTGATGATTTACTACAAAATTTATAAGTCATATACTACATCAAAATATTTAATTACTTGTTGCCTACATAAGTATTTTATGCTTACTTACATTTTGTTGTTCTCCAGTATCACCTACATGTAATGACTCAATGCAGATGACAAAATTTTCCTTCATGTAACCAGGATTCTGCAAAAAAATAATTGTACATTAAAACTCTTTCCAATATTATAGTGCAGATATATTACAAAATATTATTACAGTAATAACAGTTCTGCAATATGGATACGCATTCCAGGCTTCTTCATGAATTTCTAGAGATCCTTTTGGGGCCAGTAATCTTATAAATGCAGGTACTTTGGATGCTAAATGATAGATTTTGTATGTGTACTGACCAGACGAATACTTTCCACCTAAAAATTTGTTTTATCACACATCCACAATGATTATATCTCATAACAACTCCAATATGAAACACAATTAAAAGACAAAAAATAGGTAAGTTTATGTATTACTTATTTTAATTCAAGCTTACCAAGAAGTGGAAAGTCTGTGAATGGTTCATTTTTCAAAACTTCTATTCCTTCTCCACCACCTGTTTCATTCTTTGATGCTTCTGCTACAGAAAACAACTGTGCAACTTGGTACTAAAAGAGTAATGAATTATGTATTACTTATTTGAATAATGAATGATAAAATTATTAAACAATTGTGCTTTCGATTGGACAACTTTATGCAAACAAGATAATAATCGATATATGCATTAATTATTAATTGAATCATTTGCCAATATCGAATGATTCGACATATTTATAATTAACTTGAGAAATATTTATACTAAATAACATATTCATTGCTTGGCAATATTACATTACTAAATTGTAGAGTGAAATGTAAAAATGTATGAGTCATCCAAATACTTACTTCTTCGACAGTTAATGGTAAGGTTACTCGGCTGTAATTTACAATAGATATTATTTATATGCTTATCAACATATTTGAATATTAAATTAATAGAAAAATGAATTTTAGTTGTAGATAAAATGTTTAAACTACATAGAATAATAATTATATAGACGAGTGGAAGGTTTAGATTTATTATTTAAATCTTTTTAAAAAACTAATTATTTGAAGAATTAAATTCATTGGTATCCGAATTGAAAAATGGTTAGCAATAATGATTTTGCATGTATTGATCGACTTTTAGTCATGCTGCCACAATTTGCTCAATTTTTATTCGGAGTGTACTTTATTCACTAGCCCGGCTGAGATGTCAAACATTTTTAAATCAATTATATACTTGAATCATAACCCATGTCACTGTATTAAAATTCAACACTCTTCTTTGGATACTCACAATTCTTTAATAAGCATTATAAGGTGGTTTACTTTACGGATAATATATAATAACTTCAAATGCACATGGGGCGGACCGAGAATTGATCTATCAACCGAGCGGGTAAAAAAACTGACATCTGCCTGAAGTTCGTCTCTTCGTTGTCAATGCTCCGGGTCACGCCAACATTATAAAACGAAGTTTTGCCAACACGTATTCAAGAATTTCACAGTTTTTGGCGGTAATTCAAACATGTGTTTCTAAAGAAATAACAATTATTTCATAAAAACTAATTTCAATGGTTGAATGAATGGAATTTACATTTGATTATTAGTGTTACTTTCACTTTGGCAGCTATAATCATAATGAATTAGAAAAAATATCATATATGGAAAACATATAAAACATATAATAAAAACTTATAAAAGTTTAGAAAGTCTTTTATTTAAAAAAAAATTATCTTCATACTTTTTTATTTAATATTGCACTGCAAGTATGTAAATTTACAAAATACTTTATAACACATAATTAATTTAATAAACCATTTATTATATATTGATAAATAAATATACAAACTAAATAAACAATATTGAACTAATATCATAACATATACAGGTGTTTTAGAATATTTACTACATCAAAAAACACATTTTTTACAACACATTTGGTTATACAGATTATGAAGTCACTTCGATCAATAAAGTACAAAAATACACTCTACATTCAATATTTGTTACATACCTATAGTTTTAAAAATTACTTGAAATATTTTTATAATATAAGTGATGAGGCAATTATGAAAAGATTTAAATTTATTAAAATAATCATGACAAAATTATGCCCGTTATATTTTCAAAATACTAATATGAGCATATTCTATTTAATGATTTTCAGATAAGCTTTTGATGCGAATTTAAATTAAATTATTAAAATGGCAGTAGATAGGAATTGCAATATACATGAATACATGTGTGCATATATTCCGATTATATATATATATATATATATATATATATATATATATATAACAAAATCTAGTAATGGTGCATATATATATATATATATATATATATATATATATATATATAAACCTTGATAATTTTATTAACTTCAGATAACTTGTCAGAAAACAAGTATTTCATATTCTATGAAGTGAACAGATATATCAGATAGAAAGAAATTAAGATAAAAATTTTTTTTTGTTTTACTTCTTCAGAGCTGAAATTAATATTTTATACTTTAGCTGGTGTAGCCATTGTTGCACCAGGCACTTTCGACAATACTTTGGATAAATTGACACCTGTTAATGCCTGGACAGCTGGTGGCAACTGCCCTACTAATCGAGACACTTCTGATGTGACACCGTCGCCACCGCCCAACAGAACAATTTCTTCTGTCTTCGCCAATGGAGCCGCCACTTCAGCAGCAATCTTTAAAGAAGACAAATCTCATGATGAAATGAAAATGAAAGGTTTATGTTAAGATAAATATAAAGTATACACACACACGCACACGCACACACTATATATATAAACCTTGATAATTATATATATATATATATATATATATATATATATATATATATATATATATGCATAGCGCCGTACAGCGTTTTAAGACGTATCACTTTTATTCCAAAACCAGTTAGAAGTTCTTTATTCGTGGATGAGAAAAATGCGACCCAATTTCTATGTTCGCGGCAGGATCCTACCTTTGGCAATGCATCCAGGACAAGGGCCATGATCGCTGCGTCGCCATACTCTTTGTAAACGGCCGCTTTCATACGCATGCACTCGGCATCGGCCTTGCCAACGCCGGCAATTGCCTGCGCCTCGGCTGCTCCCAACGCCTTAATGCGTTCCGCTTCAGCACGGGCTGCTTCCACAGTTTGTGTCCTAAAATATTTTTTGTTGTTAGCTCAATATATATTATACCGTTTATTTGCAATGTGAAGATACTGACCTGCGACCTTCAGCAAGCATTTGAACTTTATAACTTTCGGCCTCTGCCGGGAGCTTGACTGTGGCGTTCAATTCACGTTCCTTACGCATGACTTCCTGCGCCTCCACCTCGATTTGTTTGCGTCGTTCGACTACGTCGATTTGAATTTCTTCATTTCTTATTTTTTGCCGGATTTTAGCCGCCTGTAATTCGTACGCCAATTGTGCTTCAGCTTTCTGCCGATGAAAAACAACAATCGATAAATTATTCCACTACATTACAATTTATATAAAGCTTTTTTCATTTCCTCACTGAAAATTTTAAATTAATAGTATAGTATCATAAGAGGCAATATATTGTAAAATATTTTTTTTAGATTTTTCGATTAGCTATATTTGATCCCTCAATATAATATCATTTTCATTTGACTTACGGCAGTGTTAATTTCTTGATCAAAATTGGCCTTTTGCAATTTGTACATTCGAGAATTATCTTCGATTTTCGTGTCGGTAGAATATTTAATATCCATAGCAGATTTTTCGCATTCAGCTTCCTAGAATATAAAATCGCATGAACAAATGTATTTATTTAAAATTTATACAAAGGTAATAGGTATGTGTCTCACCCTGATGCCGGCATCCCTGTTGGCTTCAGCAACGCCAGCGTCCGCGTCGCGCTTGACCATCGCCGTCTGCGCTTTGCCGAGTGAGGCCAGGTACTGGACATCGTCGTATACGTCCTTTATGGTGAACGAAAGGATCTCAATGCCCATGCGACCGACATCAGGTGCCGCCACTTCGCGCACCAGAGCCGCGAATTGGTCGCGGTCTTTGTATACTTCTTCGACAGTAAGAGTTCCTACACAAGATGAAAAAAAAAACACACTCACATTAGGCGTAATGGAAAATAATGATCAATTTTATATACTGTATTACGGTCACAAGCGATTATAATAGCTTTCTCGTCTTTTGGTGTTTTGAATAATAATCGAAACTTCATTTTAAGCTTATAAGGCAAGCTTATAAGAGAATTATATACATGGATGCATATAACAATAAATTAAAATATTATTTATAAATTTAATATAATAATAATATTATTAATATATATATATATATATATATATATATATATATATATTAATAATACAATATATATAGATAGATAGATAGATAGATACTTGATTATTGTTATTCACATACTAACAAGTATTACTAAAATTTTAATAATAAAACAAATATTGTATTAATTTGTATTGACATGATTACATTATTTATTCATAATCTTCAAAAAATCAAAATCTTTAAAAAATATTTAGATTAGTCTTAATTTAATTAACATATCGAACTTAAACGTCACGTCGTTTTTGTCCTTGATGTCGAGCGACATGTGCCAGATTCCGGAAGAAAACGAAGAATAAAGTTATAGGTAACCTTAATAATTTATTTCAAATTATATATATATATATATATATATATATATATATATATATGTATATATATATATATATATATACTGTAGAATCCGTTTATAATGTCCAATCATTCAAATAGACGTAATTACACTTCTAAGTTTGGTTTTCATATAAAATTGTTTATAAAAAAAAGTCGGATATGATGGATGTACAAATGTTCCTTATAATAGTGACATGTTACTTATTATCACGGTTTGTTTATAGCAATATCGCAAATGATGTAGCGATCTTTTATACACAACAATAAATTTCTTTTATACACATATCTTAGAAATTACGTTAGTATGTGCATAATGTATGTATTAATTACTTACAACATTTATTTTCCATTGATGTGTGTATACACATACAGTCACTGTTTTCTAATAAAATACTTAGGTACATACATGTTTACATATAAAAGATTTTTTGTGTAAATATGTGAAGTATGGTGTTTTTGTTGTGTCCCTTCGATGCCATTATAAACGGATTCAACTGTATATATATACCAGATATATTTTATATTAGAAATTCTATAATTAAAATGAATTGCGATAAATTCAAATCAAACTACGTGACATATTTTATATACATTAAATTAAAAATAATATTTTCTTTGTTGTTACTTACACACAATTCAATCGATTATTATATTTAAATATGCACATTACAAAAATAACTATTTATCGAAAATTAAAATTATATAACACTTCATAATTTACCTTTTGACTATCGCCCAAGTCAGACCCAAAGTAAAAATGATAGGAATTGTTTTGAGACAAATAGTTAACATTCGAATCAAATTTTAAAATGTTTGTTAACCCAGATAGTATTTGCAAAAAAATATTTCGAAAATTGTATTGCAAATCTGAAATACGTCTCGCGACACTAACAATAGTACTGGACTACTGATCGTACTAATGATTTGCACAGATATTGCGAACAACACGTGTTGTTTTAGAACAAGACTTTATCTCGGTTACACAATTCTTGTATATAATTGCAATAATTCCTTAGAATACCTACTCCAATTGAAATTCATTAGCCAGCCAAGAATCCCCACCAGCGTTGCTGTACATATATTTGTCTCGTACTTTTATCAACAGTCAAATGATGGAATTAATTTGTTTAATATCAGTAGATCGAGACGAGATAGCGTTGCCGATTAATTTTACGTATTTTATTTCAAATGTCAAATATGTAATTTTATCTACGTGCATGCTTGTTGCTTATTAATGCTACTCTAGCATGATATATTTACGCAGACTCATCAGAATGACTAAAGACGATTTTGTTTAACTGCAGACGATTTAATTGGCCTATTCCAAATATATTTAACAATTCACTTTCAAACTATACACCTCAATGGCGATTTTACACAATTACTTAAATTTGACTCACCTAAAATAGCACGCAAATGTCCTTCCAAAGTCTGCAAAATCGTTGATTTAATTTCCTTGACGGATTTTCCAAGAAATTGTTCTGAAGCTGTTCCAAGCAGTTCATCAGCCTAAAATAAAAAATAATAAATAATTTGAACTGATAAGTTATAGATCAAAATACAAAATAAAATTGTTCTAAATAAACAATTTACCAATTTACAGCAGCTCAAGAATAATTTTAAATGTATTGTAAGTTTTAACTAAAAGTTAAATGAACTAAAAAAAACACAACAAATTACAATTTTCATATTCAAATAATTTATCATAATAAGTATATCGAAATACTGGTAAACCGCCCGATTTTTCGGCGGTTTTTGATACATATTACACTGAAATTTAAATTTCTCGGAACAAATTTATATTTAAATTCCATAATTGCATACACAGCTATATCTTTAAGCCATTCTATAGGATATACAAATGTCATAATATTATCTCACCTCGTCATTAAACAGAATATTTATTGCTTTCCAAAGGGCCTCATATCGTGTTACAATAAATAGAATCGGACTGATAGAAAATGAAGTTTATTTCATCTTACGTAAAAATGTAATGGTTTTTTAGGGTGTCATCAGCGCCAAAATATTACAGATTGCCACTGCGTAATTTTTACTTTTTTGGCTTCATACATATTAACCATAATAATTACTAAATATTTTTGCTTTTTGTTACAATTGTAAAATATTATTTTACTTAAAACGTATCGCAGTTTGAAAATAATATAGGACCATTATATTGTTTGAAATAAAAATACTCTATAATTATAGTATGTTATTATTTATCTTCATAAAGTATCGGATCTTAAATTAGTAGAAAAAATCCTTTTTTAAAGTCTTTAAAATATTGGAAATTAGGCTAATTTAACACATCGGACACAGATAACACAGTTTATTATAATAATGTCGTATAATTTTTTACGAGTTTTTGGTCTTTCCTACTCATACGTTTAATTTTGGTAAAAAGTACTCAATATACTCAATATACTGGATATAATTTTGTTAAATTAATATAGTTGTAGTCGTATATATATATATTTTTATATTTGTACTTGTACTAGTAACTTTCAATGTTGTTTACATTTGTTTGATAATAAAAATACCAGTATTCTACTGGTATTCCGGTTTTAAAATAAAAAAATACCGAAATACCGGTATTGGAATTTTTCATCGGTATTGCATTTCCTAATGCCATGTATACGCCATCGTACACACAGGTCGTGAAGCGGATGTCGCTACATTTAAGTAAGTTAATATCCAAACTCTTGTAAATCAACCCTTATAGTAAGTATGCAAATAAAAAGGGTGTAGATCGCGACCAGGAAAAATCAGTAGCTATTAAATAGCAGATCAAATACTAATATAAATATATTAAAATTAAATAATATATAAATAAAAACACCAATAAAAACTATTTTTTTAGCTCCATTAATAATTATCTATCCATTACATTACCTTCATTATCTTGCACTGTGCTACACCTGTGACAGTCAAAGGAACGCCCTGAGCGGTCTCGACGCTTTCGCACATCGGATTCAGTGTCATCACTTCCAGCGACAGCCTCTGCACGTCCGTCACCAGGCACCAGGCCCATGCCCAGCCGCCGACGATTGTACGCTTCTTTGTCGAGCCGCAGCACCCACCTGAATAATAGATAAATGATTGGTAAATAGTGAGGGCAATCTGAAAAATATAATAAAGGTCATATGAGTAAGAAATATTACATTTTTCACAGTAAATAACAAAGACATTTTTGCAAAAATCCATTACCTCACTATTAACTTTTATAGTTTTGCGCTAAGTTTGTTTTTAGATGATTTTAGAAGTTTACAAGTAACAAGTGACACATAACAAATATGTTTGTTATGACGATTTTAAATATTTGTTATGACGACTAATATAAATGAACATCCTTAAATATTAAAGGCCGGCAAAGAGTGGTTCAATTATAACAATTCATGATTAGAGGAATGCAGTTCGAATCAAAGGTTCCAGATTCGATACCCATCCCGAACAGATTTGGGATTGATGTCAAACAGCAGTGACATCGGTTTTTATTTGAAAATATAGATAGCAGTATATTTCCAAGTAGAAATAGTCTTTTACCAAGCAATTCATGTGTATTACAAAAATTTTAATAAAAAATCAGCAAAAAGAGATGGAACAATCGATTGGATGCCATATAAAGCCTCTTGGTTTGAAGTCAGCACCAGTCGTTAAGTTCTGATTGCTAATAAAAATAAGTATAAATATGTAAACAAAACTTTATTAAGTAGAGTAATTGATGTAGGTAAATGAATCACTGAATTAGCCCTGATAAGGTAGAAACATCCGTCAGCCATTTATGAAATTCTCCATCGCACGTTTCAGCTCGGCTGTCACTGACCGCGTCTTTGTGCTTGCGCTGGTATGTCTTTTATTCATTACACGTAATTTTTCTAGGTCAGATAGATGGATAGCACCGTCCACAACGCCAATATATTTAATATATATAATAATGATTCACGATGTTGTGCTGATGTGCCTGGCTGAATCAGAATTAGAAAATTCCGATTCTGTTTCGTTCTTTAGTTAAACATTCTTAATAAAGAAAATAAAAGTAAAAGGAGCGAAAGTATGTAGATAACTTTTCTATTCACACTTGCCACATATACATGTTTGTAAACCTTAGATTGATGTTGAGGCTACAACAGGAGCTTCAAAAATATCTTTGGAAATGCAAACCAAATTGATAATATATAAAATACCAAATTAATAATTAAAATGAAATAAATATACTACTAATTTGTAAGCTTTAGCTTAATCTTAAGTCTACTAGTGTTACTAGTCGTTTCAAAACCAGGTAAATCGTGAAAATAAATATATTATTAATTATTAAGCTCTACATATAATAATTTGTAAGCTCTAGTTAGGATATTGTTAATACTTTACCAGTCGCTTCCAATGAAAAATATTTCACTGAAATAAAATGATAGGACACAATCTGCAAAAATCGTGTTGATATAAATAAATATAAAATACAAATGTTAATTTTCTGTAGCTCTATTTAAAGAAAATGTTAGTTTTCGCTTAACAATACTGATAATTTCTATTTTCCGTAAACTAGCCGGTGACAAACAAATCCATGCAAAGTTAAATTTGTGATAACATTGGTAATTAATATATGAAACAGAACCCGGGAACCAATGGACCGAAGATGAACCAATAATAAGTTGTAAATCACCGAATGGGCTGATTGTAAGTTGAAATTAGCAACGACCGTTTAACTCCCATACTATGATGACTTTGTTCTTTGATCGTTTAACGGTAAATGATGAGTTATTCAGAAGGAGTAACGAAAACGAAGAAAATTGAAGAGCGTAGAGATGGTAGATGGTTAAGTCGCCTGAGTAAATGAAACTCGATGGAAACCAGTCAGGTCATCGAATCAGACGGACTGAATTCCGCTCGACAGTATTCGAATGTTGCGCAGGTTATGTGGAACTAATTTCAAATCCATAAACATAAAAATTAAAAATATATTATTTATTAACAGTCAACAGTGACAATTATTATCAATGTGATAGTTATCGGTTTATGCGATATTAATTATTTTATAAATAATTGTTTTGTGTTCGAAATGTGAGGATAACGTGATAGTTAAACAATTTCAGTGAGGTAGGATTTCAATAATTTATTTTCATTTTTAAAATAACTATAATTTAATACTTTAAAATTTAGCAGCTTATATTTTATAATAATCTTTAAAACAATAAACTTATAAATTAAAATTAAACATTGCACCTTAAACATAGCGATTAAACCAGTTGAAATGTTATTTTTCAACTATTCATTTTATACCGACACAGCCTCAAAATATTCTACAAATCTTGAAAATTAAGTTTATGTTTTTTTTCTCATTTCAAAACTTGCAATATCAATAGCCAATTATCAAGGATTCATATGCATGACGAGTATATTCGTCAATACACAGAATTCTGCTTCTTCTCCATGACGATTATACAGTTAACTGGTTAAAAAGCATGATTACACACATTATAATAGTATCAGCAGCTTATATTTACGATCTGCGAAATAGATAATAAATGACATTAAAATAATTTATATGACGCCGCTGGAGATTGCAATTTAAGTACAGTTATTCGTTGTATTTAAACGTATCATTTCTTTCACAGTATTATTGATTGACATTATAGGAACCAGTAAAACCGTTATAAAGCATAAAAAAATCATAATATATATGTTATTATAGATTTTGTTTAGTTGAACTATGATTTACAGTTATGAATGTTCATGAATATAATGAAACTTGAATTATTTGTCTCGGATATGTGTAATTTTTGAAAATTGCACTAATGACACTCAAATGTTAAGAAACTTTATCCTATAAAAATAACAAACGTTTTTAAGATGAATTTTGAAACCTTATCTGCAATAAAATCGCAATCGGGTTTCGTTGACAGCAGAAATTTCTTAATTTTTATCATCCTGAGTCAATATTAATATTTATAAGAGTCCGTTACGGTGGCCTCATTGTGCGACAGAAATGTCAATCGAATCACGATCGTGACACCAAAATCAGGTGAAATGTGTACCTATTGAGCCTAACAATAATGCTAAGAGTCGGCCGAGTCGATCGTCCGGCGTACGTGCAGCGCGCACAGATTGGTCGTGCTCCACGCTTCCACGGCACCTATTATGTCGTGAAAGCAATCACCTTAATGAACCGAAGAAAGTTAAATGCTTTCACTAAATCGTTTTTAACAATATTTGTTTATCTTATATATTCTGTGCATACTCCTTACTCACAAATAAATATTCATATGCCGGCAAATAGTAAAAATCTAAGCGTAACGACATGAATGACAAAAATTGCACAGTAGTTTAACAAAAAAAAGAAAAAGTATTATTTTAAAAAATCAGGTTTAAATTATGATATAATTATTGCATTAGTTTCATATATAAGTCAAAATCGATTAAAATTTATTGGACAATAATTTCGATATACACAGAATTGTTTTCAGAGATTTCAAAATCAAAAACGATTATTTTTAACTTCATCAACATTAAAGATTACGTGTTGTTATAGAAAAGATTACATTTACCGCGTTAATTATACATATTGTAAGAAAATACATTTATTGAGGGCAATTAATAATATATGTATAATTCCAGATGCAGGATAATACTATTAAGCAGACTTAGTCAATATTGAATATGTGAGAAATCTCGTTTGTTTATCAAGAAGACGAATCGAGATGAGCGCCATCGTAGGAGCCGCGAGTGCCATCGGCGCCGCAACGGTCAGCGCGGCAACGAGCGTCGGCTGGTTCATGCCCATGCTGGTTGCCGCGATCGCATACTTCCAGTACGAAATGATGGACCCGGAATCGAGGCCGATAGATGTACCTAGCGATGAATTATTAAGCGCGTATGATTTTATTGTGGTCGGGGCAGGATCTGCAGGTATTATTCACGCATATATTTATAATCGAATAAATGAAAATAACAATTATCTGTCGACAGGAGCCGTTGTTGCCAACCGATTGTCAGAAGTTGAAAACTGGAATGTTCTATTACTAGAAGCCGGTGGTGATGAGACTGAAATATCGGATGTGCCACTACTGGCTGCCTATCTGCAATTGAGCAAACTTGATTGGAAATATAAATCTGAACCGCAAGGAACAGCATGTTTAGGTAAAACCTTCATTCTACACCACGAAAATAATTTTTCATATAACTGCAAAAGATGTAATTTTTATTGTTACCGCAGCAATGAATGGAGGAAGATGCAATTGGCCGCGCGGCAAAGTAATCGGTGGCTCTTCAGTTCTGAACTACATGCTTTACGTACGCGGAAACAGGAATGACTATGATAATTGGGAACAACAGGGCAATCCTGGATGGGGATACGATAACGTGCTGAATTACTTCAAAAAGTCAGAGGACAATAAAAATCCTTACCTCACAAAGACTCCTTATCATTCTGAAGACGGATATTTGACAATTAGTGAAGCACCCTATCATACGCCATTGGCCGCGACTTTTGTGCAGGGTGGAGTAGAAATGGGCTATGTTAATAGAGATATTAACGGAGAAAAACAAACTGGATTCATGATAGCACAGGGTAAGTATTTTTATGAAAAAAACTATTTCACAAAATCAGTGTCTATAACAGTTTCAAAAACTTGAAATTTTCAGGAACGATTCGTCGTGGTAGCCGTTGCAGCACGGGAAAAGCGTTTTTGCGACCCGCTCGTCTTCGTAAAAATCTCCACGTATCCATGCATTCACACGTCACAAAAATAATGATAAATCCTACAACTAAGGAAGCTTATGGCGTCGAATTTGTTCGTGACCGCAAATTACACAGAATAAGAGCCACTCGCGAAGTGATTGTTTCGGGCGGATCCGTCAACTCTCCACAAATTTTAATGCTATCTGGAATAGGACCACAGGCTGAACTAACTAAACATGGCATACCGGTCATTCAAGATCTACAGGTTGGCGAAAATCTTCAGGATCATATAGGATTAGGCGGTCTCACGTTTATGGTTAATAAACCTGTATCTATAGTAGAAAATAGATTTCATTCCATATCTACCGCCATGCAGTACGCAGTATTTGGAGAAGGTCCTCTCACCATTTTAGGAGGAGTGGAAGGGCTTGCATTCGTCAACACAAAATACGCAAACACGTCAATGGATAATCCAGATATAGAATTCCATTTCATATCTGGATCCACTAATTCGGATGGAGGTGGTCAATTAAAAAAAGCGCATGGCTTGACGGACGCGTTTTATGAAAAAGCATTTGCTCCAATCAATAATATGGATACTTGGAGTGTGATACCAGTATTGCTGCGTCCAAAAAGTCGTGGATCAATCAAATTGCGTAGCGCAAATCCTTACGATTATCCCTATATATATCCTAATTATTTCTCCGACGAACAGGATATCAAAACACTCGTAGAAGGTGTGAAGATAGGTATGGCGTTGTCGAGGACTAAAGCTTTCCAAAGATTTGGTTCCGAATTGTCTCATTATGTATTTCCGGGATGCGCACACATACAAAAATATACCGACAAATTCTGGGAGTGCATGATAAGGTATTATTCAGTGACAATTTATCACCCAGTAGGCACGTGTAAAATGGGCCCTTATTGGGACCAAAATGCCGTCGTCGACCCCAAATTAAGAGTGTATGGAGTAAAAAGGCTTCGAGTTATTGACGCTAGTATTATGCCCAATTTAGTGAGTGCGAATACTAATGCGCCAGCCATAATGATTGGTGAAAAAGGCTCCGACATGATCAAGGAATTCTGGCTCAAACACCCAACGTTCCTTCGATATCACACCGAATAATTGGAATTCAGCATGAAAAAGACTTTTTAAATGTTACTAAAGTGTCATATGATAAAAAAATAGTGAAAGAACCAAGCTAATATGGCCATTGAAAAATCAATAAATCAAGTGATAAAATAATACAGTGGTATTTTTAAGAACTTTTGTTTTAAAGTTTTATAATACTCATATGAAAACTATTAAATTGAATTTATTTTATCAAAATATATGTCTGTAAGATTTATATATATATATAGAGTTAAGTAAATTATTTTTCATATTAATCATTTAGTTTTTTTTATTAATTTTATATGAGTTATCAATATATAAACTAAAACATTTTTTAATTAATAAGATGGCTATTGACCCGTCGATGAATAGATGAATATAAAGCATATAATATACCTTGCAAAAAATAACTAACACAAACAATATTGCTACAAACTTTGATAGTAATTTGAATAACTTTTATCATATTACATTGAATTAGATTCTTCGTGGCTCAGAATAAAAACGATAAATCGCCGATCCAGCACAACAGACCTAGAACAAAGGCGGTGAAAAAGCGCAAAGAACTTGTTACTGACGTAAGATTTTGCAAACGAATCGTCACTAAATGTGCAGTACACATTTAAAATGTGTATTTATTTTTAATAATGTGTGAACGTTAAAAAAAGTGATTTTTCATTGGATGATTTTGACAAAATATATTTAATAATTATAAAAGTGTGATAGATTTTCTACAGATTGTTTTAATATCATAACACTTAATAAAATTTTGGTAAGTTTATATTTTTTATATATCAACTAGTATTAGATCATTTATTTTTGAAATGTGGTATTGCAATAATCGAATTAATCATTCTAGAAATTTTATTTCTTCGGGACTTTTAATAAATTCATTAAAAATGGCCGTGGAAGGGTTATTCTCTAGTATGCGCATTTTATTATCAATGGCCCCAAGTTTTGCTTTCATGTTGTTATTGCACAATTCTATAAATCAGCAAAGACCAGATATAGTAGACCCTGAACATAGAGTCAAAGACTGTGAGATACCAAATCTCAGGGAAAAATATGATTTCATAATAGTTGGAGGCGGATCAGCGGGGGCGGTCCTCGCAAACAGGCAAGTACGAAATAAGTAACTAAATCATTTTTGACTTCGGAGGTTATTGCAAATATGCCAGTATGATATTTGGTACTATACTGTTATACTATAAAATATTGGTAATAACAGAATAACAGAATTTATTCAATTTGTAACCATACAAATCTAAATATATCATTGTGGGTCAGATTATCGGAGAATCCGCATTGGAATGTGCTTTTGGTCGAAGCTGGTGGCGACGAAGGCTACATGTCGGACATCCCATGCATGTTCGCGGCATTGCAGCAGACGCATATCGATTGGAACTTCAAAACAGAACCATCGGACAAATATTGTTTAGGCAAGTTTGCTCGGCATGAACAATAATAAAATAAACTCACATTCCAAGTGAATATCAAGCTCGATTACAGTAATATAAAGATGCGATACCATGCCATAAATCGATTTGGTATAATACAATATTAAAAAACTCCAACCTTCACAAAAAATAATGATATGAATGTAAAAATATATGGTATATTCATATTGGCATGACAAATTAATACAATTATAATTCCGCATGTTTGCCTGATAAAGTCAGTTCGCCTGGGTTATGTTGACACTCTCTACACATCTAAATAGTATACAAAGTACTGCACGAAGTTTATAAAAAAAATTATATGTATCAGATGTAATGTACTCATTGATAGATATAAATAAATAATAATGATATATAAATATAAATAATTTAGGTATGAAGAACCAACAATGCAATTGGCCTCGCGGTAAAGTGCTCGGTGGTTGCAGCACGATAAATGCAATGCTGTACATAAGGGGCAATCGAAGAGATTACGATAGATGGGCAAGCTATGGTAAAATAATTGTAATAGTTTATTGTGGGAATAATTTTGAAATAATTACATGCATAAATTAATTACTTGGTTCAGGAAATCCTGGATGGGATTACGCAAGCATTTTGCCATATTTCAAAAAATCTGAAGATATGCGAATTCCTGAGTTTCAAAATGAATATCATGGTGTGGGGGGCGAATTAACAGTCGAACATTTTCAATATTGCACTCCGATGATGGAGGCTTTTCTACAAGCAGGCAGAGAAATGGGATACCCCGTAAGAGATGTCAATGGAGAGTATCAGACGGGTTTTACACAAAGCCATGCGACTTTAAGGTGTATAGAACATATTGAACACTTAGGGTTCGTTCAAGTATTACGTAAGCAGATTTATTATAATTATTTACCCCCCCCCCCATCCTCCTCGTCAGCAAACACCCCCTTATAGTGCTTACGTAATACTTGAACGGCCCCTTATATAAATAGAAAAATAAATAAATGAATATCAATAATTTATGTTTAAATTAATTTTAGAGATGGTCTCCGATGTAGTACAGCAAAAGGTTTTTTGCGTCCGGCAAGCCATAGGCCAAATCTTCATGTTTGCTTAAATGCTCATGTCGAATCTGTTCAAATCGATCCTTATACAAAACAAGCCACAGGAATCACGTTCCGTAAGCATTATATACAGCACTCGGTAAAAGCATCCAAGGAGGTAATCATATCCGCTGGTAGCTTGCAATCGCCGCAGTTGCTGATGCTGTCAGGAATAGGTCAGCAGGAACAGCTCCAGAAATTTGGCATTCCCGTCGTTCATCATTCGCCGGGTGTTGGTGAAAATATGCAAGATCATGTTGCCATGGGCGGAGGGACTTACCTCATAGAGTCGCCACCCGATTTAGAATACGCATTTATTGTTCCAAAAATGGTTAATGAAGAATCGATTTACAATTTTGTTAGAGATAAGAGCGGACCACTGTACTCTTTGCCTGAAGCGGAAGTAATGGCATTCATAAACACCATCTATGCAAATTATACAGATGACTATCCAGATATACAAATGTTTCTTAGTTCCGTTAGCGATAGTACTGACGGAGGAATGTTTGGTAAAAGAGACAATGCCCTCACCAATGATTATTACGCAGCGGTATATGAAAATATTCTATACAGGGAATCTTACTCGATAGTGCCATTATTGCTAAGGCCGAAAAGCAGAGGCAGCGTAAAATTGAAAAGTAAAGATCCAAAAGATCTACCTCTAATCTATCCAAACTACTTTGACCACCCTGATGACATAAATACCTTGGTAAGTCACATAAAATAAATGTTTTATATTTCGGTTCTTAAGATGATGGAATGAAAAGTATAATTAAATAATTTAAATCATCTGAAAAAATATTATTTTCAGATTGAAGGTGCAAAGTTCGCTTATGACATTTCCCAAACACCTATAATGAGAAAATTAAAAGCAACATTCAATCACAATCCCATACCGGGTTGTGCTCACTATCCGTTCGTGTCGGATGATTATTGGCGATGTCAAGCCAGACATTACACAATGACAATCTTTCACCCTGTTGGCACTTGCAAAATGGGCCCCCATGAAGATCCCATGGCTGTGGTCAATCCGCGGCTGCAAGTTTACGGAGTGAAAGGCCTAAGAGTGGTGGACGCCAGCATAATGCCGACGATTGTGAGCGGCAACACGAACGCTCCAACGATAATGATAGCCGAAAAGGCAGCGGACATGATAAAAGAGGATTGGGGCTACTATCAGTATCCGGCGCCCCAACAAAATATTGTATACCCGTACCCATTAAATGGGGTATATTGAGAACATGATGAATTATCAATAGAATCATATATTAACGAATGTAATTAACATTACTGATTAAACTAATTATAAATTTTCGAATAAAAAAGTATATATATTTTAATAGTGTTTTTACTACCTTCAAAATATCGAGTAAATAATAATCGAGTAATAATCGAGTAATATATAAATATAGTAGAAGTAGCTTATAATTACTACCAAAGTTGCTTTTCATATAAAGTTTATTGTAAAAAAACAACCCATTATTAGTTAATCTGGGCATTATGGCCCATTATTAGTTAATCTGGGCTGCGTAATTATTATCACGATTTGTTGATAGCAATATTGAAAATTATATTTCAAGCATAGCGAACAATGAGATACTGCTTTTACATTGCATAAGAATATTAATATAAATACTATAAAAATGCTAATAATAAAGATCCTGGTAACGCCAGGGTGCGAAACAAAAAAAATGTTTAATTAATATTATATATTTCTTTAATGATATTTTGTTTAAAATGCTCTTAACTGAGATAGAATGCAGTTGTTTGAGTGCAAAAACAATATACATTTTTGTAGAGTGCCCATTTGTTTTTTATTTTCTTGAATTTTTATAATAACTCAGACAACATTTTGATAAATACCTTGATGAGAATAAGACTATAATAAATTGTTTTCGTCCGTAGCATATAAGACAAAGGGGTCTAGGTAAGTAAAAAAAAACATACATATATGGAACATATATATATATATATATATATATATATATATATATGTATATATATATATTTATAAATAGATCCCCACTCTGAAGTGCTCGGTAAGAAACATAATGAGATAACAACGCAGCGTTATAGTTTACCAAGCGAACTGTGGTGGCAGATCAAAATGCAAACACTCTGAATAAATATTGTAATTATAAACATACAGTGTCAATAGGTTGTTCAGGTACAACACAATTAGAATTCGAGGTAGAATATCAATTGCACACATTGTATCGTGGCGCATCGTTCAAACCGGAATATTTGTTATAGAATTGTTTGAATTGATGTAGTGCAAGGAGGTTCATTGTTAACGATCGTTCCACAAAAACGGAAACAGTGCAATAGAAGGTAATTAGAATTAATTTTAATGATAATAATGATGTATTTATATATATATATATATATAAATAAACATTTATATATATATATATATATATATAAATAAACATTCATATATATATATATATAAATAAACATTTATATATATATATATAAACATAAA